GGAGTCCCTGACAGTCTTAGTTCTTAGTTCTTAGTTGCGCCCTTATTGAGATTCAATATTTCAATAAGGGCTTCAATAATGACAACCCTCATTGATATTCAATATTTCAATAAGGGTTTCAATGATGACAACCCTTGCTGAAATTCAATATTTCAAGACTTCTCAAGACTTCTTAAGACTTCTTAAGACTTCTTAAGACTTCTTAAGACTTCTTAAGACTTCTTCAGACTTCTTAAGACTTCTTAAGACTTCTTAAGACTTCTGAAGACTTCTTAAGACTTCTTAAGACTTGCCAAGAAGTCTTGAAAATTAACACAGACGTAACATGAGGCATAAAACTATGGATCTTGGGGGGGGGGTATGTATGTATGTATGTATGTATGTATGTATGTATGTATGTATGTATGTATGTATGTATGTATGTATGTATGTATGTAAGTGATGTGATGTGTGATTTTTCTTGTGCCCAACAATTTCCTGGTACGGCGCATGGAAATTCAGACAAATTTGTCGGGTTCTGCAGAAGACAATGCACATAGCAAACATGTTTGCATGTGTCAGGCTTACCCGATGCATGGATATTTTACAACATCAAGGTTCAGGCGAGAACGGCCTTCTGGACGCACAACACCCAAACTTTAACGCCAAGGCTTGCCAAGAATTTTTTTGCGTCATTTTCGACGTCCCTAAGAGTGTAGTTTGTGCTTTATGCAAGGCAAAGCATCCCAAGCTCCCAATTTGCAAGAAAGTCAGAATCTTCTAGGCAAAGTTCAATCTCTAGAGTTTGTTGATGGCAGCTTCTTCAGAAATCGTGTTGTGAGTACGTTCTTCCAATGGCACATTCGAGGGTGAATGTGCTCTTTAAATAAGAACTTTCACCGTCGCCTTGAAAAAAGTCTTGACTAAGGGCTAGGGGCGTGTATCCAAAGGGGTTAATGCCTGTACAAGCATGTTTTGCTAGGGTGACATTTTTTCCAAAAGACATTCTCGAAGCAAGATGCTCTGAGCCAACGTTGTTGCTTGGCATCGGCACGCTCCTTCCATTGTGCCTGTTCTCCATACTGGCACCATGAAGGAGACCCTTTACTTCGCTTAAAAAGTCTATGCTTTGAGACTTTGAGAAGCCCACGGCGTCTGCCTCTCTTGACGATTTTTTGGTGGTGAGCAACTGCAAAAACCATGTATGCACGCGCCCACTGTGTACCACCCTCAATTCATCTTGCAGATCATCCAGAAGATTGTTATGCACAGGCACTGGTTACTTTTCATTGCCCCTATGGACTTGAGATGAAGTGGCTGAGAATTTTGAAAACTGAAATCCGTTTTTCCTGCACATTTCGAACAAGCTTTTTTCCATGCTGGTGATCCAATTTTCCCTTGCAACAGGTTCGAGTCTGGAGAGGAGCATTTTCGATCCGTCCATCCGCTCGCGCGCTGCGGATCGATGCAGGACTTCAGATCGCAAGGGGAACGGTGCGTTGACACAGTGAGTTGCGGCGTTGCACATGTCATCCATGTGAAGTAGTATTGGAGATACATCTGATGGGAAGCTCCGACCCAAAGGAGTAGGGTAGCCATAGCATTCTTTCTGTTACGGCCAACCGCCAACCACAAGTAAAAACTTGCTTCTCCATTAGGATTAGCTGGGTTAACTTGCGTTGCCAAGCCAGTGTTTGCAGGAGGGTGATGCAGATTTTTTCAATGTCTTCTATGGCAAGGGAAGAGTGGCTTGGATGAGCAAGCTTTCCAACACTTTTCAAAGTGGCACGAATCTGGGCCTAAAGGGATTTAGGACTTGATGAGGATCAGGTAGGGATCCGAAGGCTCAGATGAGCAATCTTCCAACTCAGGTTGAGTGGCAGATGACAGAGGTAAAATGACATTCGGAAGAAGCAAGCTTGTCTTGGATGGTGTGTCTTTTGGAGCTTTAGCCCGCAAAGTTCGCATGTGTTTTGGTTGATTTAGTCTGGGAATCATGTTCCCAGAGCAAGACAAACATGGGAACTAGCTGAGTTTCTAAGACTTGAAACATTCTAAGAACATGTTTCTGAGACAGTTCCGTGCGATCTGGTCCTCGCCCCCCATGATGCGAGCCGAAAGAACATTTGCAAATCACAAACGCGCTCCTCGGAGAAAGTGCTGAGGTTGAATGCCCTGATGCAGGCCAGTCCTTTGGTTGACGATCCTCCATGCTCATGATCATTGTTTTGTCATTCCCGTTGTGATGTGAGGGCGTGACTCAGCATGGCAATTCAAACCACTAGTAAAGTTCTGTGCGTCCTGCCCTTGGAAGATTCAAGCTCGCAGCAGACCTCTTCGTCCCGGTGTGCAATCCACAACCCTCCGAGACCAAAGTCCAGATCCCAACCCAGTAGGAAATTCAAACATGAAATTTTGGACTTTTAAGTACGAAGTGGATGATTCACAGTGTGTTGTGTCACCTTGCCTGTGTCGCCGATTTTTTCGAAAGTATATCGAAAGTATGAAAGTGGGCTGATGTGTACAGGATGCATTTGCGAGCCGTCACGTTTTCTCTTGAATTCTTTACTCGTGCTCAGTTTGATTCTAATGACCCACGTTTGTTGGAGATGGTCGTATTGGATCGCGGTCCAAACTGCATAGAAAACTTTTGTTCATTGGGACTTCTGCTGCCAGCGTACTACATTGTTCTTGCTGATCGGGATATTGCATTCAGTTTTTGTGCTCTTCGGGGCGTTCCAGTACATAGAGCAGTTGTGTTTCTTATGGGTTGGCCTACTATTAGTCTACTACGTGGAATTGTTTTCCCGGCTGGGTCTATTTCATAGAACTACTTCGTTTATCGGGCATCCAGTGCATAAAGCATCATAATCTCACACTACTTAATATCAATATTTTGGGGCTGGGTTTTGACAGATTTTCAGAACCCTGAGGATGTTGAAGTAGATTCCTCAAAATTGTCCCTGGAACATTCAGGTCGACTAATTAGAGCAGCGAAAGCAGGAGGCCGTGAACAGTAACGATTTGTCCAGGTCTGCCTCACGAAGAGTACCACATGAAGGCTCGGGCAGTTGTTGAAGTCGTTGCTGATGCCAGCGGGGCTCCGTGTTTTGGAGGCCAACGGCAGAGGAAACGGTAACTATCCTGAAGACCCAAAGAGTGCTGGAAGGGAAGTTGTTGCCAAAATCGTTGGAGTTAGTCATCGTTGGAAGTGGTTTATGCTCGCAGAAAAAGAAAGCGAAGAAGCAGCCGATGGAGCCGAAGGCCATGCTGATGCGTGAGAGTTCTGTCGTGTTTTCTGGGTGTTGCGCAGAAGGGACATTTGTCTGAAAAGTAGCGTCAGATGCAGCTCCTAGTATGGCCTGGAGGAATCCGTGCAACAGGCTTTTCATCTAAGAAGTTCAACTCTGTCGGTTCATGTAGATCCCTACTCGCAGAGCCTATTCTGGGTTAATGGGAACTTCAGGATAAAGTCCACCAGGCCCATCTTTTGTTCTGGAAAGTTTCGGCATCTCGTTTCTCTTGTATGCTGGTTGGGTTGAGTTTCTGGCGTCACATGGCTTGTACGTAGTAACAAGACCTTGTAGAAGTGCAGTTTGATGCAATGCTTGAACTTTCAAGAGTGCCGAGCCTTAATGTTCTCGTTCTGGACGATGGGATGTCTGGCTAGAAAGTTGAAGGCTTGTAGTTGCCGCGCAAGAACGCGTGTTCGAGTTGCACGGTGCCAGAACTGGGCTTGCGTGGCTTGCCGTGCCCGTGGGAAAATGTTACTTGTGTCAGAACCCTTGGAGTGCATGCAAAAGTTGAGAGCGCCCTTTGCACAGGATGTCTAGCAGTGTGAGGGGGCCAACGCATGTAGAAATCCGAAACCAACCCAGTTGATGCACGGCCTTGCAGCCAAATAGAAGGAATCATGAAGGCGCAATTGACCAAGAGCTATTTTTCCTACAGTAATCGTTAGCAAAGCTATGCACTACGTTTTTGCAGAAGTACATGCTGAAATCATTTCCAAGGCAAATAAGAAAGACCTCTTGCAACCTTGAACACAAGTTCCCAGCTCTTATTATGAAGGTTTTTTGTGTGCGAAGGGTTCGCCAGGGAAAAATCGGTGCCCGGACTTACAGCAACTGACGATCTGAAGTTGCCGCTCGTGACTCAGACCCCGTAGTGAAGGATCGAAAGTCGAGAAAGCAGGCCAGGAGCTGATGATGACTGACATTGTTGCTGGGCAGTTTGTGTTGCATCATGATCCCTTGTTGGACTAAGCAAATGCATCGGTACGGGTACGGTTTGGTCATATGTGTGTTTCCAGCACTTGTGTAGGGACATGGACTCGCAAGGTGTCGGCATGTCGAGGCTCCGTGATATCGATGATGGTCGTGTGTGAAAGAATCGCCCGCGCACTCACACTGGGGCAAAGAAGTCCAAGAAATATGCCAGGTGAGTGGCGGAGATGGTGGTGCCCCATTAGCGTTTCTTGTCGTGAAATTATGGATTCCTTGAACCAGCCAGAAGCAGTGATGCAGTCTTAAGGCGTTGCAACATGGTGTTGCAGCCTGGAGGCCACCATGGATCAGCCCTTGAATCTTGCTTATGATTCCCTTTGCGACACCAAGCAATCATCACAGTGGTGATCTCTACCGAGATATGGATTGGTGGCACACAGTTGCTATTATGCTATCATGGTTAACGTATGTTGAAGTCTTCGATCCAAAGCTCAAAACAGAATCGAGCAACCAGTCCCGGCACAAACTCAAGTATGTCAGAAACCCCTAGTTTCGGCTACCACTTTCTTCGGGGAATGGTGATGACTAGTTGATGTATAGATGGAGTGAGTTGCCAAGTGGATCGGAGAAGTGGACAGCTGATGTTTGTTTCAATGGGGTTGCCAGCATGACTCGACATTGAAGCTGTCCATCCAAGGCAGTCTGCCAAGTTGAGCGAGGCGCAAGGGGCACGTAGCTGCCGAATGAAGACCGTCCAGGGAGATTGTGTAGCTAAGCATTTGTTCAAGGTGCACAATGTCCAAGGATGAACAGGTGGTGCCAGGTTTTCTCGCCCAATCCTGGTCACTCTTAGAGGTTTCAAAATTGAACAAAACAGAGTAGCCGTCTGTAGGGAACTGGTGCATTTTCGTGGACGGTCTCTGCAGTTTCAGGAAACAGGGATCCTTACGGGTTTAGAGTGCAACTTGGCCGCAGGACAGCACGGACATCACTCGTGCTGAGGACCTGCGCGGATGAGCTTGCAGATGCCCGAGACTTTTGAGGCAAAGAGTCGGATGAGAGTTCTCAGGAGCGTGGCCAAACAGAAGAGCTGCGCATCAAGAAGGTGCGCAAGAAGAAGGCCAGATCAGAGCTTTGTGCTAGAAAGGCTTTAGTTCAGGAGGGGCTTGGCAGGTATAGACATGTTGGATTCGCTGTCAAGCGTTATTGTGAAAGATCAATGCAGTCCAGCCGCAGATTGGCCGACATGGAAGTTTTCAGCTGGTTCCCTGAAGTTGCCCATGCCCATGTCGGCCTCGGGCATGCCACTGACCTGGGGTGCTTGAACTCTCCCCACACGGACTTGCCACAATCTTGAATCTTGGCTGAGTGAAGGATGGAAAGACGAAGAAGCAGGCTTGGATCGTGCCTGATTTCAGCAGACCTGCATTGTCCCTCTGGCTTCAAGCTGCAATTGAGGCTTGTGGTAGATTCATAGGCGCTACGAACCATAATCACCCTGCAGAAGCCCTACAACGCTTGCAAGCCGGTGCCAGCAATGGAGTCCATAACATGTGTTCAGGTGCATGATGGAGATTCTCATGATGAACTTTCAATGTTGCTTGTCTGATTGTTATTGCATCTTGGTCCACCCGGCTATTCCGGCACACTGCTCGATGACGGCGGCTGATGTTGCCTATACTGGTACAGAGATTGGTTTGGACTAATGTTCATCTGTGGATGGGTGCGAATGTTGGGATTTGATATATATGTTGGGATGATGGTGCAACAAAGCTAAGCACGCTAAGCAAATTCTCAGGTAGCGTCACTTGGACAAGCCTGCTTTCGAGCCGGCTTCTGTACTGCAGGGCGTCAGCATGATTGACATGGTATCTATGTGTCTGTGCGTCCAAGGCCAGTGGCCAGGCAGAGCCAGGCAGTGACAATGCTTGCTTCATGCTTGTGATGCCGAAGTGGAAGTGGTCAGGGATGATTCGGCAGTGCTGCAGACCAGGATGCTGCAAGCTTCTTGCAGCTGCCGGCTGTACTGGTACCCCAACAACCTCAACAAAACCCACAACTGCAATAGAATGGACTCCGAATGCAGGCGAGCGATGCAGACGTACATGGCACGACATCGGTGCTGCTTGTCTAGACATCTGATTTTCTTCAGACTTCCAGCGTGGTGAATGTGTTTCTCTTGAAGCGGTTTGTGGTGTTCCTGGAGAATATCACCTTCCATGGTCTAAAAAACATTCAACCCAGTCCACCTGGAGCCATCACTGGCCCCCAAGTCCTGCAGCATCCTTTAACCGTACGTGAAGTTTGCCACCGAGCCCTTTCACCCCAAATCGACAAGTTGGTCTTTTTGACGTTGGTATGCTCAACTGTTCTGCTTCATATGATTTCGGCAGAGCTGTGCAAGCCCGCTTTGTTCTCTAAACAGACGAATGAAGGGACTGCTGGTTTCAGGACTGCTGCTTTCAACGCTCTACTGGTAGCTCGAAAGGTTCGTCCTGAGTTGTGGGGCATGTGTTCCGGCATGGTGAGCAGATCTCCAATTGGGTTTTTGTAGGAAGTTTTAGGGGGAACGACCTTGGTCGAAATGTGGTACACAGATGGAGATCCGAGGCAGGCCGGCCAGAACTGCCTTCTGGGACGAGAGGCTTGGGAGTTGCAGGACCCTGCACCACAGACCCTGAACACAAGTCAACGCCTTTCAGGCTTTCTTTGGCGGTCAGAGGGCGAAGGCCCGGCCAGTAGCACGTGGCAGCCAGACCACGCCCACGCGACAGCGTCCAGAATGCGCTTGGCCTAGGTAGGTAAGGTTCTGGATGCTTAATTAATCCTTTCAATCTACTTCGGACCCTAAGACGAGAGTAAGAGAACCTTGCACCATAGGAACCTGAACACGAGTCCTGTGCCCCATCAGGTGCGAGGTGCGAGTGGCAAGCAAAAAAAGAAGGCCGGCCACAAACAAACGACGCCCAATGACGATGTAGGCATTCGGCTTTACGCTGTCTTGGCAACATAGTTAGGATGCTTGTATCTGCCTTCTGAACGCAAGCCTTGCCCCCATCAAGGTGGCAGGTGGCGACCGAGAGCAGGAGCGGGCCAGCGACACATGCCAGCAAGACTCCCCATGCAACCGAGTCCGAGCGCATTTTAGGTGAACAGATTGATGTAGACTTTTTTATCGCGAGAGTCATCAGGCCTTGATATCCATGAACAATGAACAGGTTGTTGGCGATTCCGTGATGGAATCGGCCAAGTGGGAGACGACTGACGAGGAACGGGGGCCTAGCTGGCCCGGGTGTTGGATTGCAGGCTGTACGTTGTCCTTGCAAATCCACGAGGGTCGTTTCAACACAATTGGGACGCTGGGGAACTGCTGGTATCTGCCTCCTAAGACACGAGAGGCTCGGGAGCAAAAAGGACCTTGCACCACGGAGTCCCTTAACACAAGCCTGGCCCCCACCAAGGTGGCAGGTGGCGACCGAGAGGAGCAGGCCAGCAACACATGCCAGCAAGACTCCCCATGCAACCGAGTCCGAGCATATTCAGGTGAACAGATTGATGTAGACTTTTTGAGCACGAGAGTCATCAGGCCTTGATATCCATGAACAGGTCGTTGGCGATTCCTTGATGGAATCGGCCAAGTGGGAGACGACTGACGAAGAACGGGGGCCTAGCTGGCCCGGGTGTTGGATTGCAGGCTGTACGTTGTCCTTGCAAATCCACGAGGGTCGTTTCAACACAATTGGGACGCTGGGGAACTGCTGGTATCTGCCTCCTAAGACACGAGAGGCTCGGGAGCAAAAAGGACCTTGCACCACGGAGTCCCTTAACACAAGCCTGGCCCCCACCAAGGTGGCAGGTGGCGACCGAGAGGAGCAGGCCAGCAACACATGCCAGCAAGACTCCCCATGCAACCGAGTCCGAGCATATTCAGGTGAACAGATTGATGTAGACTTTTTGAGCACGAGAGTCATCAGGCCTTGATATCCATGAACAGGTCGTTGGCGATTCCTTGATGGAATCGGCCAAGTGGGAGACGACTGACGAAGAACGGGGGCCTAGCTGGCCCGGGTGTTGGATTGCAGGCTGTACGTTGTCCTTGCAAATCCACGAGGGTCGTTTCAACACAATTGGGACGCTGGGGAACTGCTGGTATCTGCCTCCTAAGACACGAGAGGCTCGGGAGCAAAAAGGACCTTGCACCACGGAGTCCCTTAACACAAGCCTGGCCCCCACCAAGGTGGCAGGTGGCGACCGAGAGGAGCAGGCCAGCAACACATGCCAGCAAGACTCCCCATGCCACCGAGTCCGAGCGTATTCAGGTGAACAGATTGATGTAGACTTTTTGAGCACGAGAGTCATCAGGCCTTGATATCCGTGAACAGGTTGTTGGCGATTCCTTGATGGAATCGGCCAAGTGGGAGACGTCTGCGGCTGACGAAGAACGGGGCCCTAGCTTGCCCCAAGTTCGGGCTTGTTGGATACTGTGCTATGGTGGAATGACGATGTAGGCATTAGGCTGTACCACTGGTATTTGCCTCCTGAGACGAGACAAGTCTGGCCCCCGTCAGGTGGCAGGTGGCGACCGAGAGCAGGAGCGGGCCAGAAACACATGCAGACTCGCCACGAGCGCATGTTATATTAACTGATTGATGTAGACTTTTTGAGCACGAGTGTCATCAGGCCTTGATGTTCATGAATAGGTTGTTGGCCATTCCGTGATGGAATCGCCTGAGACGGCTGACGAAGCACGGGGGCCTAGCTGCTTGCCCCAAGTTTCGGGCTTGTTGGATTGCCTGAGAACATTGGACTACATTTTACCCACGAGGGCCGTTTCAAAGCAGTTGGGACACTTGTGTCTATCTATGTCTGTCTCCTAGAACTTGTATCTGTCTCCTACAACGAGAGGCTCGGGAGGAAGAGGACCTTGCGCCGCATAACCCTGAACACAAGTCTGGCCCCGCATCAGGTGACCGGTCGCGAGCGAGAGCAGGAGCGGGACCGAGCCAGAATGCGTGTAGGTGAACAACAGAGACGGATGTAGACTCTTTGCTCACGAGTGTTATCGGCCATGTTTTGATGATGTTTCAAGGCTTCGGTTCTCAGTGTTGTGGTTGGAGCTTTGGCTGCAGACTTGTAAGCGTTAACGTGAGCCTGGTGACTTCGTTGAGACGGGACATTGCAAAACTTTCAAAAACTGCCATTCCATGATGTTCCTCAATGCTCTCATCGGCGTGGCTGCCTTCTCACGTCGAACCCTGGTGAAGCCTTGAAAAGCAAGGCCAAATTCCAACACATACCCAACCAAAAAACATACTATACCACACCCTGCTGTTCGTCTTTGGTTTCTTGGTGAACTAGTCTCTTGGCATGCTTGTACAAGTGAAACTGGCACCTCGCTCTTGCACCGATGGACGGAGTCATACATGCGTGACGGCTTCCCGGCTAAGAAGCTGCCGGCGGTTTCGAGCATGGATGGTTCAGCTACTTCCCCACTTCAGGGTGCATGCGGTTCACTTGGCTTTCATGCCAGTCTATGCTTAGCAAACCGCTGAACCATACTTACAAAAAAGCAGAATCCTGAGCACAAGCTCCAACAAAATGGTACCGTAATTTCGACACATGTCTGTAGGGCTTCCGAAAGTTCCAATCTTTGCAGGGCTGCTGGTTTCAGAAGCTCTTGGGCGCTCTTGTCGGCCACTCAGACGCTGCCAGGAGCTTGAACAGCAGCGTAAACTAGGATTGGTTATAAGCCTTCTGGGGACTTCAGGGTAGAACAATTTAGTGCCGCCGCTTATGTTAACGTCATCCGAAGCCTCGTGAACCCTATCCCCTGGATCCTAACAACTCACAATCATTGTTTGGGCTGATGCACACAACCATAAGCTGTTATTCTCCAGGCTCCTGCTCGAATCATGCTGCAAGCTTCTTGCGTATTGATCTGGCCACATTGCAGCGGGTTAACGCTGTCAACAATCGATTGCCAACTGCAGCCAGGCGTCTTGCTCATGTACGGGCAGCCTGGTGCCGAGTTTTGCCTCTTGTCGGGCCGAGGGAAAGACAGAGAGAGAGAGAGAGAGAGAGAGAGAGAGTAGCCATTTTGGCTCAAGTCGCCTTGGGGGAACCCGCCCCCTCCATTGCGGCTTGAGCCTGCGCGCCGCCTGGCTCAAAACTGCGAACCGCTTCACTCCCTTACGAACCCTAAAATTCGGTTGAGTTCGGGGGCCCAGCGCAGTTGTCTCAGTGTTTCCGCTTGACTAGGGGGAGTGTGGACGTTGACCTTAAACGAGTGGAAGCGGGGAACAGTGAGGCGCCCATAGCACAGCAACCAACCACTTCCTTGACACGTACTGGTAATCTCTCCAGGACCCCATTTTCTGCACGCCCTGCCCTGCCCCATCGCTTTGCCCATTACGGCCCCCTCGACATAGCAAGCCTCAGCCATGGCAACGAAAGGGGGGGCGCCCCTCATGACGCCCGTGCCAGAGGAGGCCCAAAGGTTACTTGGAGGAGCCCTACACTACATGAGGGAGCTGATCCTTTGGGTGGCGAACACATATACCCCCGACACCACGCACTACATCGAGGAGCAGCTCCGACGAGCAGACACCCGCCAAACCACTCAGTGGTTCCAGGCTAGCATCAACGTGCTCATGCCACAGATGGGGGTGATCTACGTGCCGCCTTTCGTGGGGGAAATCGCTGCACCGACAATGCCATCAGGTGGGGGCGAGAACCGGCCTCACCAACCTGCTGGAGAAGGGGGCAAGTACGACGAGGTCAAGACCGAGATCAAAAAAGAGAAAGAGAGCGATGACGACAAAGACAAGGCCGACTGGGGGGGCGACACGGAGGAGGAAGAAGGAAGGGACCATGCCCGGCCATGTGAAATACCATCGGCCGTGGGGGATGGACAACAACACATGCCAGCCAAAGAAGAAGATGCCCGGGGGCCATGTGAAATACCATCGGCCAAAAAAGGAGAAGCGCCCACTCAACCTGGACGGGAAGAGAGAACACCACCTCGAGGAGGAGATCTACCAGGTCCACGGCCAGGGAGAGACGTGCCGGGACCAGCGCTTTGCCAAGACAAAGACGATGAAGGGGAGGAGTATGAAGACGTCTTGGTTGACCAGGAAGAGGACAGAACCCGCACCGGGGGTACACTACAAGCTCGCCGACCCGGACTTCGACCTGCGGTGCCCCAACCTACTTCAATGCCGCCCTGGCAACGACTCCGAACCACCACGTTGCACCACATCACTCCCTCGACTACTACGTGGGAGACGCTCCACCAACAACAAGCCAAGAAAAGAGATTTCCCAGCGGGAGCACGACCCACGAAGACTTCACGAGCTTGGGGGCAGAATAACAGAGGACCATGTGAGAGACCATCGGCCCCTACACAGCCCCGAGCCAAACAGGGGGCAAGGACGGCATCCGCAAGGACTACCTCGCAAGTTTGGGGGCAGGACAACAGAGGACCATGTGAAAGACCATCGGCCTCCACACAGCCCCAAGCCAAAGAAGGGGCAAGGACAATAGCCAGACTTACCGCTGCACTCAAGGGAGCTTCTCGGTCAAGGACACCTCGAGGGGGACCATGTGCAACACCATCGGCCCCGACAACAGCTCCAGCTCGCGACAAGCCACCGCTGCCAAGGAAAAGGAAAACCGGGGACATCTGCAGCAAAAACCGAGAAAAGCTGGGGGAGAAAGTGGCTCGCCTGGCAAACTACGACGACTCTGGCTACAACTGAGGGAGGTGGCTACGACGACAACCTCCGCAACTGATGGGCAAAAAAGGGAAACTTGTCTAGGGGGGCAAAGTCTACCCAATTTACAGCAGTGTAACCGCTTGAGATAGGAACATCTTTGTCGTAACCCCGCTGCTGAACTGCAAGGGGTAACAACAACCTTTCCCAACCCCACTGCCGCACTGCAGGGGGCATATGTTAGGCAACGTGGACAAACAATGTCACTTCTTTCATTTAACCATGGCCAAGGGTGTAATTCAGGGCGGTACCCTCGATCCAACACTTTGATAGGCACCCTGGGGGGAAAAACCAACAGAGTCCCCCAGGTGCATGTTTTTACCCTACGGCCTTTCATACTTTTCTTTGCCCCGTCAACATGATGGGAATCACGAGACCTTGGACATCACGCGCCCCTTGGGGCAGCCCTCTCTTCGGGGGGGGCTACGCGTGCAGGAGAGAGAGAGAGAGAGAGAGAGAGAGAGAGAGAGAGAGAGAGAGAGAGAGAGAGAGAGAGAGAGAGAGAGAGAGAAAGAAAGAACGAAAAAAGGAAAGAAAGAAAGAAAGAAAGAAAGAAAGAAAGAAAGAGAGATGCCTTGAACACGCATCCTTGAAATCTTGCCGGAAGAGCTTTCATTCCTTACTTACGTCATGAGACATCCCCAAAACAATCCACATTTCCTGTCATGAACTGTACTCAAATGCGTTGACATGATGCTTTGTGACAGATGTCCTAAGCCCCCAAACTATGGTTCCTGTTTGGTTACCTGTTGGAATCTATTGGACTGCAGTCCCATGAATTAAGATCGAAGTGCCATTCAAGAGACCAGCGTTTCGGGAACATTGATGTTGCTCAATGAGGAGCGCATGGCCGATTCACCGAGAAGCGCTGACTGGACATGCGGCCATCTAGCGGCAGCCGTTGTTCATTGTTTCATGTCACCATGCCAGGTCCGGTACCGAGTTTCGGGTTTCTTGGTGTCCAAAATGGGCCACAAGAAACAAGCAAGTGCTGGCCTGCGCGTGCTCTGGAGCTGCAGCTGCGGATATCACTGTTGAAGTTTGTAGTTTTAACTGTTAAATGTGTGGTCGAAACCTCCTCGCATTTGTCAAGCACGTACCATTACTACCGGTAGTTGCGGTTCCTCTCGAAGGGGGTCAGCAATCCAGGCCGAGCTGTCACACTGTGTTCATGAAACAGCAGGTAGGCTCGTGCGTCAGAAGTCGTGCGCCGGCAATATTCAAGTCGTGCTCAGAAGCCAGATGTTTTGCACGACATGTAGGTTGGCAGACTCGGCCGAAATTGCGGAGTCCCCATACTCGTTTCAGGCAAATGCTCCAGTGAATAGGGCAGGACCCGATGGACCTTGCAGCTTTGTGGTACATGATTCAGGCACTTCAAACTACCAATTGGCTCTTGTATACTATTGTTCGTGTTGGCCTAGCGGCTGCATCTCAGGGTGGAGCCCAAACTGCTGCGAAAACACCACAGCGCTTGAAAACTCGAGGATGCAAACGTGAGGCCTTTGAGGGTATGGTTCATCATGTTTACAGGTCTTCAACGTAAAACTCGGCAGGGAGTAGGCGGAGTAGCGGTTGTGCCGAGCTGTGACCGGAATGGCTTGTTTGTTGTGGCCGCAGCGAGTACATGTGCCTGTCGAATTGCCAACCCCATCGCGAACGTTTTCTTGTACAGCATGCTGATTCGAATGATTTCAGTCCTTCAGAGTACTGGATGCAAGCTCTACAACCAGAATTTCTGTCGCCCTTTTCTGTCGCCCTTATCTGTCGCCCTTGCTTCTTAGTTTTTGGTCCAGGTGGGTCTGAAATAGTGAGACACTTTGGCAGGCCACAGAGCGTGCAGTATTACCCAAGCACTCAAGCACTTGAGCAACAGTGCACACCTTCAGCAAGCAACAGGATGCATGGCGTTTAGAACCCAGGCAGTGTGTCCACCTACACCACACCCAGCACAGCCGCATTTTGTCTAGTTCTGGGCCCATGGACTGTTGACTTGAGCCGCTGATCAACCACCGCCTTCAGATGGTCGGGCTGTTTGGTGCACGAAAGGTTGCGTGATGTTGTGTTGCAGTGCGAGCGGCTTGCCAGGTTGTCTTCTCACTTCGCCATGGCCAGTGCTGAGCTGATGGCTTAGCAGAGCAAAGGCGTGTTAGAAGTGCAAGCAGCTTGTGTATCTGAGAATGCAAGGTACAAGCATTCCATTTTATGGCGCGGAGAGGAGACGGGACCTGTGCAACCGACATGCGTAAACAATGCGGCGTATGGCAGGACCCAACAAAGACCCGATTCAAGCCGGCCTATGACGGAACGAAGAGAGTCGAAAGGTGCCGGGTAATCATTCTTGGTGTTTCGCGGTTGGTTTCTTTGGCATCTGCGCAGCTGTACTTCATGCCACACGAAAAAAGGGAGCAGCACCGCCAAAGCTCAATGCCGCATGCCATTCCAAGACTTATAGGGAGGAGACACTCGACTATGGAGTTAGTATTTGGTAGTTCTGGTGTTGTAGAGGATGCTTCGAGGGGAATGAACTCTTGATTTGAATTGTTTTTCGGGGGGGGAGACAACCAGCTCTGACAACTGAATCAGAAGTAAATTAACTGTTTTCAAGGTGTAACGGTCTCCCAATTCGATTCTGTTTAGCTCTTGTTTCCATTGCCTTCCTGAGGCCAGTCATGAACAATGCCGGGTTGTAGAATGTTGAGGAATGTCGTGGTGGACGTAGGTACCGGCCTGGACAAGTGCCAGTGTGGGTCGAAGAAGGCAAGAAACCACAACGCTGGCACCTGAGAGGTTAGGCATGATTCGTTCATCCCATTCAACTGTTGCTCACCTGCTACTGACGGCCACGCGTGCAAACCAGTGAGGCAAAGCACGTGAGCCAGAGAAGCCTGAAGAGGATTTGCGCAAGGACCGTGCGTGCTTTTGTGGACCTGCAAGCTTTGACGTCGATCTGGCTAGGCCAAAAGGCGGCGGCAAGCAGCCGCTGTGGTTTTGGAGGCGGGTTTGCAAGAAACCCACATGTTTTCGGTTTGCAGTTGGGATGAGAGGCCTCAGATAGTGCCAGCAGCCGCTTGGCTCGTTTGCAGCGGTCTGAAACCGTTGGGAACTCAGCAACATCTTGGATTGCGGTGGGACTGTGGTTCAGAGAGGGGAGCATCTTATGTCAGGCAGGGGAGGCAGGGGAGGCCAGCGCAGCGAGGCCAGATGGGAATTCAAGGGGTGCGACGGGTACGCACTGGACCAAGCTTTCTCCGGAGGCTGCCACGAGAACGCCGAGTTCAAGAGGCAGTCATCCTGGAGGCTGGCTCACGCTCCCCTCTGTCCCGATTAGCGGATAGTCGACTAAGGACAAAGAGAAGGATGAGAGCAAGGATGCCTCCGTCTCAAGATCAAGAGAGGTGCTACTTGGGAGAGAGGGATGTGTATCATACAAGGAGAAGTCCGAGCTCTTTAAAGAGGAGGAGTTAGATATTGACCTCAAAGATGGAGTGGCAGAGGCATGAGCTCTGCATGTGTGTGTGTGTGTGTATGTGGCTTGTCGTGTCGAGTTCGGATTTAGAAAGAACAGAAAGAGTATGGATTGCCCTGAACACTGCCTTCCCGTGAAGTTGAACTACGACGAGATCGTCGGATCAGGGGACGAAGATGTTGAGATTCAATATATTCGCAGGGCCCCCAAGGCAGCCAAGGCTCCGTGGGCCGTGATGCAGAGAGAGGAGTTTTCTAACGGCGAGGTCGTGAGAAGGCTCGGGAACTAGCCCTTTCAAAAAGGAAGATTGAAGAGGACGTGCTGAAGGCACTTCTGCTCCTCGCGCACTTTGCAAGCTTTGACCGAATGTAGACATGCACAGTTGCTTGCCGCAGGCTGAGCTGGAGGAGGAACAGGAGGTAGGGCCTGCTATCAAGATTCACTGAAGCACATGAATGCACGCTGCAATGTGAAGGAAGTTGATGAGGAGGAGAGTGAATATGAGTCCGAATCTGATGATAATGATGCCAGGCGGTCAGCTCCATGTACATTTGAGAAGGTCATTCGGATTATCTGCGTTTCTCCTGCAGAATTTCAGGCGCGGTCCGCTCATGAAGCCTGTCTTCGTCTCGAAGTCCAACCGTGAAACTGTGAGAGAGAAGGCCGGGCGAGTCAGTTAAGTTTGCCACAGCCAATGGTGTGGTTTATTGCAGGGTAGTCGCTGCCTCAAAGGAGCAGATTGAGAAGGAAGAGGAGGAGGCTCGAAGAAAGAAAGAGGTCCGACAACTCGAACGCAAGGCCAAGTTGCCGGGGCTTACTCAAGGGCTTGCCATGGCACGTCAGCTACGCATGATTTCGCATGACGTGCCTCGAGGCTGAGTCAAAGGTTCTGCTCATTGACAGGATCAATGAAGAAGCTGAGGCCCACGTGCTGCCATAGTTTTTCTGAGTAAGTTCTCAATCTCTCGAGGCTGAGAGGTTGGCAGAGGACATGGACGACAGATCTGACATCGAGCTGTTGGATGACGACGATGAGAAGAATGAGGCTGAAGAGTCGGAGCCCAAGACACTGCATCGCACAGGCGAAGGTTGAAGCAAAGGAATCTTGCCGTTGGATTGTGAGAAGGGTTCATGGGGCTTCCAACATACGATATGAGCACCGGTCACAGTTGTTGTAGCTGACCATCGAAGCCAGATGGAAGCCAGAATCTGATAGGACTGACAGACGGGCATCCACGGGCCATTTGCGCTGCAAGGTACGAACTGTGGAAGATACGAGAATTGAAGCGCATCAAAAGGGACAGGGAGGCTTGCTGGAGTGCATGTGTCTGTGTGTGTGTGTGTGTGTGAAGCGAAGCAAAGTACTGCAAACATCGTGTGTGCAATCTGTGGACTCCCATTGCAGGAGAAGCTTCAGAGGCAAAAGGAGATCGAGTTCGTTCTGAGGTGCTGCACATATATCATGTACCGACAGAAGAAATGACTGGCTTCCGAACTTCACACTGCTGCTTAAGTGCAGGCGACGTGAGATGACTGATGAAGAACGTGCAAGAGACGATGCAAAGTGGGGTCCGCAGATGTCTTTGCGTCATCGTGCTGGATTGCATGATGCATGGCACTGGGTGTTGATATGTGCTGATGGCGTCTTCAGAACCCAGGCTAGACGCTGCCAATCCCAAGAGAGCAGATGTCAAACAGTTCAATTTCCTGCAGAAGCTTGGAAAAACTTGGATAAACTTGCTCGCCTGGCAAGCCTGCTGGCATGTGCACGACAAAGCATTGTCCAAGGAAGTATTACCACCGCGGTGGCTTCTTCCAGGTGCCTGCATCATTTGCATGCTGCCCAAATCTTGTGTTGCTACAGCTTCCTTAGCTTCCTGCCCATTTCGCGAGTCTGATGTCCTGTCCATGCCAGGACAAAGCTGTCTCAGGAGAGGAAGCGTCTTACCCTTACAGAAGCTGGCTTTAGGGCTTGGCAGCGGGCGCAACGCCACAAACTGGTCTAAGGCTGTACCTGCGCGACTACCATGAGCCCCTGGAGGAAGAAAAGTGCGCTAGAGCTTCTCCCATCGCTCTGCTTCGGCTACTACCCGGTGATGTCTCGCAGGTATGACAAAAACCTCTTGCCAAAGGCCATGCAGTTGAGGCGTGGTGAGTTTGGCAAGAAGGGCCAGGCGACTTGCTTTATGTCAGGTAACTGCGCTTCGGCTGTGGTCTTCTGTTTTCATGATGATGGTTCCGTGCACGCCTAGGTCAAGCACTCCCACCTCACTGATGTCGACACAACAGACATGTCAGCCGCATGGGCACAGAGCTCCAAGGTTGTACAGAGGTGCCCGTGGAAGAGTGTCAAGTTTGACGTGTTGATCAAGTCTTGAGCGATGCCTGTCCTGCAGGTACCAGGAGAAAATGGCAGCTGCAAAGGGGGTGGTGAACTTCGAGCGTCCATCGTTGAAAAAGTAGGCAGAGCATGATTCGCATGTGCAGATCCTTGGAAGCTGGTCTGTCTCTGGTGTCAGGCGATGCACCTCAGCTTGAAGATTCGAGACGGCAACGTTTCGAAAGATAGAGCTTTATCCCCTTAGGGGCACTGCAGCTGGTGAGAAACAATGCCGAACGCTGGCTTCTGCCGAGCTCATGCCTGCACAGCATGGTGCAACTCTTTTGGTGCCTCGCCGCGGCCCCTGCACACAATCAACAAACGCAGGATACCGCAGGCATTCACATATCAAGCCTTGTGGCATGATGTGAGTGGCCTTGCCAGGCCAGCAGAGAACTTTGTGTATGCAGCGCTTGCACCAGATCACAAATGAAAGTCTGGCTGCGCACATTCTTCATAAGAAGCAGTCGTGGAGTGTCGCAGGCGGGCTACTTGCAAATGGCTTTACCGAACCGATCATTAAGCGGCTCGCTGAAAGCTTGCTGAGCTCTTGAGCGGTTCTCACACAGTTTTGTGCTGAAACTGTCGGACAGAGGCCTCGGCCTCTCCATTGTCAGCCTCTTGCCAGGCCCTAAGTTCTAGCCGGAGCTTAAGATAATTTGCGGATGACTTGAGTAATGAGCATCATGGCTTCGCCACATGCAGTGAGATGAGGAAGCCAGGCTATGGAAGTGTTGTGGTCAAGCCACGAGCGGGGTCATGCAAAGTCACAGCTAGCGTGCCGTGGCTGAGGAGCTACTCTTCAAGATGCTGTGCTGCGGGCCCCAGCAGTTCTGCCACAGGTTTATGGTGCTGAGTGCTGTTGACAGTAGCTGGCCTGATGATGCGGTTTTGACAACAAGGCGCTGGCCGAGCAGAGCTGCAAGGATGTTTCTGTGATCGCTGGAAGTCCGAGAGTTTTGAACATCCTTGAGCCTTTGCTTTGTCATCTGCACTCGCATCGGGGTCACCGGGTCACCTGTTGGCAGGACACAGATGTGATGGAAGGATTGTGTAGTGAGGCCAGGCCTGTGAAGTTCCCGACGTCAGGGATTCTTTTCGCTATGTCGCCGAGGCTTCCTTCTTGCAGCATGGCATCGAAGTCCAGCAGGTGCTGGCCAGAACTGGTGCCAGTAGGAAAGACTACAGAGTTTGCCACCCAAATCCTCCGTGCGGGCTGCCAGGTTCTACATGCTGTGGACAGCAATTCTACGATGCAGCCAGTCCGTGCACCGAGAAGGTTCAGGCCATTGACTGTCTTTGATGAGCAACGAGTCCCGGTGCCCCAGGCCACGAGATCGACCAACGTGACTGGCTCAGATCCTTTGCCCTAAAGCCTGTTTTCAGATATCACCGAAAGCAGCTCCTGAGGCGACTCCCTCGGCTCCCGCGACTTCTTCCGGTGCTTCCAGAGCAGCGCTGCTCAAATCCAATGAGACTGTTGCACAGCGGGTGCTGCAGACCGAGCTGCAAAAGGACCGTGCAGTCAAGAATCAATGTGTCCCCGAGTTGTTAAAAATTGTAAACGCGGCCATAGCCATGGAATGCTTTGCAGGAGATGCCAGCTATGTTGCTGAATCAGTTGGTGGCAGCATCTCTCGCAAGGGAGCGCCTTGACAGCAAATGCCGAGAGGTGGCAAACTGTGCAAACACGACGAGCACATCTGAGCCAGTATGACAGCTCAGGACTGCGGGCACATCCTCCATCGTCTCGACAGTAGTCAACTTGGTGGCCGAATTCTCAGCACCCGCCGTCGGCTCATAGACAGACTCGCACGGCTCGTCTCCAGGTGTTGGTCATGCTGGTGCTTCTCATCGTCCCTTGGCATCCCTAGGCATAGATATGCAAGAACCTGTCGAGATGCATCCATCCCAACCACTGTAGGTTTTGCTGTGCCGACACGACATGAATGTGCAAGAAGCATACGAGGAGGCCTTGCTTGCTTCGCCATGCCAAGTTGCCCATTTCGCTCTTAACAGCAACCCAGAGACGAACGTTTTGGTTTTTTTTTAGAAGCCTTTCTTCGGGCCTCCGCACTTGCTATGTGTCTCAGATATCGTCGAAGACGAGTCCATCTGGATGTCCTTGCAACTGTTGCCGTACGGTAGCCCGTCGGAATTTCCTCGGCAAAACAAGGTGGTCAGCTCGTGCCAACCGTTCAGAACATTCAGAACACCTAACCTTCATCTAACAGAAAAAGAGCACGGGTCCATCATGGATGTTGCAATGAGATTTTGAGATTTTCGATGATTGTCGAGTGCCCGGACAAACCTTTGATGATGTTCTGAATTGCAGCGATTGTCCGGATACCAGTCACACCTGACATGGAGGTCAAGGAAGACCCACAGATGCTGTACAAGCAGTTCGAGCAGGTGTCAAGTTTGGTAATCGTTTTGGCTCGAGACGCGACAGCTTGCTTGCCCTGTCGCTTCAGGACGTAGCCCCCCGTGCGAGATGCACACAGGCTTGTTGCTGAGGAGGGAAGGTAGCTCTTAGAGGGCTCGCTGTGCGGGAATCGGCCTGAAAATGTGCTGTGTGCTCAAGCGGAGTTGGAGAGATGGTGAGTGTGTGTGTGCACTCTTTAGGGCATGCCATAGCAGCTGATCATTGCCGGCGTACTGGTTCCTGCTTCTCCAGGATGTTGCGGACAGTAGGTGACAGATGTGCGGCACAGCGAAACACAATTGCCATGGGCAAGACTAAATGATAGCTCGAGGCTCTTTGCCTGATAGGCTACATATGTGTACCTATTTGTACCCTACTTCAAGCTACACTTCGATCATGATCCGGCCAATTTCTGCGATTGCTGGCGCTGCAGCTCTGGGATGAAGAATGTGATGGCCTGAAGTCCTGAAGCTCGACGCTCTCTCTCTCTCTCTCTCTCTCTCTCTCTTCAGTTTCGAAGCTTCAGGTGGCGAACTTCCTTCGTCAGTTGTCAGGACATGTATGGTCTTGGCGTCTGTAGCATTCGACAATGGAAGAGGTCCACTGAGTGTCCTGCTGATCCTGCGCAGGATGCGACCTCCGCACCCAACCCTTACCTCTCGGAGCAGTCCTTGCCCCAGTGCAAAGCTGCGAATTCCAAGCGCAGATTTCAGCCGGTCCACGATGGCAGGTATCGGACGCTGAATTACCTCCGAAAGATGGAGCCTCAGGAGATCGAGATGCTGTCCGGTGCCCGGACGCATCCGCCTGTGATCGCAGCGACTGCACATATACGAGTAGACACATTCCGTTTTCCATTAGATTTCTAGCTTCCAGTCAAAGCTCCGGGTCGAGGCGGAACACAACTTTGGGCACGCGAGTCGTGGAAGGTTGTACCCTGAGAGCAGCCATTAGTGGTGCCGGGCTCTTAGCCAAACACGGAGGGTGGGACATGTTTTGCACAGAGCTCGTTGTGCCTGGGATGGGTCTTGTCCGAGGTTGGTGGGGCTGGCCTGGGCCTCCTCATGGGAGGCCCTTTTGCTGGGAGCTACCGAGGTGGAACCGGTGGCACTGGCAAAGCTCCCTGTGGCAAGGCTTCCTTCATACCATGCAGCCTCCACCAAACATTGACACGCCCGGACCTTATGAGCAATGTGGTTAGGGCTTTGCATTCTTGTTGCTGGTAAGAATACGGAGCATTACCTTTTAGGGCACATTGAAAGGAACCCAAATTAAGCGAACTGATCATGTACTTAAGCAGCTTATGTTAAGCTATGGTGCTTTCTGTGCTGTACCGGTGCAGTTGCTAAAGCCTCCCACCCTTTCACCTTGTAGGTCACTGTCAACGATGGAGCAGATTCGACAGTCCTACAAGGGGTTTGGACAGCCTCTCAGCTCTTTTGTCTGCAAGCTGCCATGTCCAACAGCGGAACTTTGTCATTGGCTCAGCGCCCGAAGGTCAAGCATGCGTGCGCATGTCTCGAAACTTCGCGAAGGCTTTCCCAGCACAGCCTCAGCTGCTTGGAGACGGAAAGGTTGAGTGAGCGGTGCAGTTGGAGGTGGGTGTGGTTTTTGCTGGGGTAGAATGCTTCTTCGAGCGCGGCTGGCTCAGACGGAAACCTTTCAGAGGGACCATGAAGGCATCCTTCATCCCTCAGGTGAACGAGCATGTAGAGATCTGTGGGTGGCTCGGGGGTCGACTTCGAGCCTTCCATTCCGGAGCAAGCTGAATGTCTCAGGCCTAATGCGATCCTTTCTGGTTGTGTCACTGGCGGCGTGCTTGCCTTCCAAGCCACGGCCTCAAGTTGTCACCAGCAGTGATTGCGTTGTCGGCTTCATCCCCAATACGTGATCGCTGCAGCATTATGTGTATATAGAAGCATGTCTCAAGTCATCCAACACTTCACAAATGGAAAAAATGTGAAATTACAAACGTTGTAGCAACTTAATTGTTTTCATTATTCTTTTTTCATTCCCCAAGCAGTTTACTGTGGGGGTCCTGTTTCTTTCTACGAATTCCGACCTAGCTGGATGCACCCGGTCTGGATTGCTGGCCTCCGCTTGTCTCCCCTTTGTCTCCATATGCGTGGCTTCGGCCGGTTCGTTGGTCCTTGCCCGGGTCCCTGGACTCCGGTCTCGATTTTGTCTGCCTTCATGAGGGTGGCCTCAATGGGGTCCATCCTCTTGCCTATCCTTTCTCTCCCCTCCGCGCATGGGTGGCCTCATCAACGTTCGTTTTGGCTTGCAAAAAGTTGCATCACATAGATCGCAGCGACAACAAGTTATTTCGCAGGTTGTCCCTTGTGATGATGCCTTCAGCACATGCCAGGTTGGTAGCACAGGTAGGAAGCTAGAAAAAACAGCCCAAAGCCGTCACCTACCTGCATAGACCAACTTCCTTGACTTGGCGTCAGTCTCGTTCTCTTGGGCCACAGCATGTGCAAGAGAAGCATTCAGGAAGAACATTAGTGGCTCTGCTTCCCCAAGGGTGGGCCAACTGGCATGGCTTTGGGCTGTGCTGGCTTCGCCGCGTTTTCTGGAGTGCGACGCCTAATCATAAAGCCAAGGCACACACTTGCATCACTGGCACTAGCAGCCCATGAACGCATGTGGCAGCTCAGGTCATAGAAACCCTGATGGATCACTGAGCTCTGCACTCGCGTTAATGCTTGTTGGGTGAGGACAACTCGCTCGACCATCAAAATGAACGGCCTCAGTGTCGGAGTGACAAGATGTCAGTTGTATGTGCGCATGAGAAATCACAGCGCTGTCACAGCTAAGTCGTTGGGCTGCAGCTTCTCGGGTTAGTTCAAAAACAGAATTTTTTGTAGAATAACTGAATAATTGCAAGCGGTTAGTTGCTTGCTTATTGTTATTAAGATCAGCATTAGCCACACGAGTCAATGGCATGGCTAAAAAATTGAGAACATCTTTTGGAAACTAAATATTTGCAGAGTGATGCCGACTGTTGTCGATTGAGCGCGCCATGAGCAAGACTGGTGATTTGGAGCCTGGGCACAGGCCCGAAAGAACGTACGAGCAAAGCACCAAAAGATTGCAAAAGTGCTTGGTAGTCCTTGTGTGTTTCTGGGAGCTCTAATCAGGCATTTCTTAAGGTTGAAGGATGCACTCAGCAAAGCAGCTGTAGCTCACTAGTTCTTTTTTGTTGCACCTTTGCCATCTCTGGGTGTTGAAGCATGAGATGCCCTGAAGGAGCTTCGAGTATCCTGGAGCAAAAGTCTACCCGGCTAATCTCAGAAATGGCGAGCCGAATCGTGTTTCCACCACGCGTTTCACTGCTTTGACGTGGATTCCGAAGTCTTTGTTTCTGCAGTTTCAAAGGGCTGCAAATCTCTACTTCTTGTTCATTGCCATCATCGTGTGCATGCCGTTTTCTCCTAAACGGTGGCAAAGCAAAGTGATACCCTATGCCCTGGTGTTGACTTGGACAGCTCTGAAGGATTCCTGCAGCGATTTTGATATACAGATGTTGCATTCCCACCGTCAGTTCATTTTCGCTTTTTTTACATATCTTTGCGGGCTTGGTTTGTGTTTTTGTTGGGCTCTTGAGACTGTTCTTCCTGTTTCTCAGGACTTGTTCGAGGACTCGCGGCGTCGGAGGGATGACCAGACTGAAAACTGCAGGAAGTGTTGGGTCTACGACTTCCAGCAGGGCAGCTTTATTCAGATACAGTGGAGCATGGTAAAGCCGGGAGACTTCGTTTGCACGCTGTGTGATGAACCTTTTCCTGCAGACCTTCTGGTTGTTGGGGCTGCTGGACATCAGGGGGCCTTCATTTCCACCGTGAATCTTGATGGGGAAACGAATCTGAAGCTGCGGTCGCCCCCAAAAGTGTTTGAGTCTGTTGTGAGCCCGCAGTCTGAGAGCGACAGTGTTAGTCGGCCACCTCCGCCTGCCGCTGACATTGTATCGCTTGTTTCGGGTGGGCTTATGGTGCAATTTGCCAGTCCTTGTGCTGACCTGTCCGATATGCATGCGGCTATCGAACTCGGAAGTGAGCGGTGTGCTGCTAATTGCGAGAACTTTGTGCCGCGTGGATGTGTCCTCCGCAACACTCCCTGGATGATAGCCATCGTTGCTTATGCAGGTCGAGATACCAAAGCCTGCCTGAATTCAGCTGAGGTGGCTGGCAAGGTCTCCAGCCTACAGGGATCTTTAAACTTCTGTGTTTATGGTCTGCTGGCTGCTCTGTTTGCGACTTGCATATACATGGCAACTCTTGCAAAAGTCGCTGAGCCGGCCACAGACTGGGCAGTGCGCTTCCTGAGCTATACTATAACGCTGTATCACGTCGTGCCTATCTCACTATACGTGTCTTTTGAGATTCTGAAGCTGGCTCTAGGAGGCTTCATCGATTTCGATGCCCAGATGATAGATGAAAGTACTGGGCAGGGTGCTAAGGCAAGAACAGCAGATTTGGTTGAGGAGATGGGGCAGGTTGATTTCATTTTTTCCGACAAAACGGGAACTTTGACGGCAAATGAGATGCGCTTTGCAGAGTGTGCGGTTGACAGCTTGGTGTTCAGCACTTTTCTACAAGATCCGCGAGGTGGACCAGTGGGTGGAGTACAGGAAGCCCAGCAAATCCTTGGCGATCCAACTCATCACATGCACAAGGCAGTTCTATGGTTTTTTACTTGTTTATCTGTTTGCCACACTGTGCAAGCCGACGAGAAAGACGGTTGTGTGCAGTATTCCGGGCCGTCGCCCGATGAAGTCGCCTTGGTGAAGGGCGCCTGCCAGGCAGGCATCGCCTTCAAGATGCGCAAGACCGACCTGGAGCGGAAGCTTGTGGAGGTTGTTGTTTCTGGACCATCTGATGCCCCTGATCGCGTTTTCTCTATCCGGAATATAATCGAGTTCACTGCAGATCGCAAGCGAATGTCAGTTGTCTGTGAGTCGGATGGGAACTTTTACTGCATTACCAAAGGTGCTGACGTTGCCATGAGCCCTTTGCTGTTGGCACCCTTGGGTCAGAAGGAAGAGGAACAGCTGTGTTTGTTCTCTCAGAAGGGCCTTCGAACACTTGTGGTGGCCTCTGCACAGCTCGACTCTTCGACTTTCTCTGCATGGGAAAGCAGCTGGCTCGCTGCTGCCATGTCAATGGATCAAAGGACAGAGCGCATGGCGGAATGTGCTGCGGCTGTCGAGCGGAATCTTGAACTTGTTGGCATCACGGCAGTAGAGGACAGACTCCAAGCTGGTGTCCCAGAAACGGTTGCGAAGGTCAAGAGTGCTGGCATTCGTTTATGGGTACTTACAGGAGACAAGACCGAAACAGCAGTCGACATTGCCTACTCTTGCAACCTCTTCGCCCAAAAAGCAGCTCTGGCCTTCGTGACGGGGGCCGTCGACAGCTCCGATGCCAACGCATCCCTCCAGAATGCACGTAAATTGTTGGAAGGGACCGCCGATGGCGGGATAGTTCTAGACGGGCAGTCCCTGAACTTCATCTTGGAGGACCCCGTTGCTGCGGATTTGCTCCTCGATCTGGGACTGCGGAGCCGCTCTTGCGTATGCTCGAGGCTGTCGCCCGCACAGAAGCGCAAGTTGGTCGAGTTGGTGCGTCTCAGGAGCCCCAAAAAGGCGATCACGCTGGCGATCGGGGACGGTGCCAACGATGTGCCGATGCTCCTCGGAGCCCACGTTGGCATCGGCATCCGCGGCAAGGAGGGCTCCCAGGCTGTGCAGGCAAGCGACATCGCCATCTCACAGCTCCACGGCTTCAGCACAGTTGTTGTTCCAGGGTTGTGTGCCTGCTGCGCGCCGGCTGCGCAGGGCTTGCATGCTCATCCTACCGTACCCCAAAATGCAGAAAGACCAGATCGTAATTACAATAAGTCAACATCCCCAGGCCGCTTCCGCAAACGACCATGGGACCGCTGCGTGTACTTGTGTGTTTCAAAAGTGAGGTTCCGACATCTCCTTCCACTCCTGCTGTGTCATGGACGGCGGGCGTATAGGCGGATTGCGACCTTCTTATGCTATTACTTGTACAAGAATGTGGCGCTTGCTTGGGGCGATGTCATATGGGCACACCAGGGCGGTTTCAGTGGTGATGTTGCATATCCAGAGTGGCTGTCAACGTCCTTCAACGCGGTCTTCACGTCTTGGCCTGTCCTAGTTGTCCTGGCTTTTGACCAAGACATTCCAGATGCTCTTGCCAACTCAAACCCTCAAATCTATCAGGAGGGTGTGCAGGGAGACTGGTTTAATCGGAGGCTCTTCGGGCTCTGGATGTTAGCTGCTGCATGGCACGGGTCGTTGGCATGGATCGTGCCGAATCTCTCTTTCGGAAGCTCCACCTACGACTCCGTGGCCTTTTGGCGGGCCTCGACAACGTCTTTCACGATTGTGATCATTGCGATAAGCCTGAAATTGTTCCTTCACTCATTTAGCCGCTCGCGTCCCACGTGCTGGGCACCGATACTTGGGAGCATCTTGGTGTATGTGTTAGTGTTATTTCTTTTGGGGTATGTCAGCTTTGGCCAACGTATGCAGCCGAACCTGTCCGATGGTGGAGATCCACCAGTACCGGGCTGGATTTTCAGCAATGCGCTGCCTCTTCTCCAAACTCTGTTGGTTCCGGGTGTAGCAATCTTGCCTGACATTGCATGTTTGATCTACGCTCGTCGGCTAAGTCCGTCACCTCTCTTCAAGGTCGGATGTAAAGTTGAGTCTGATGTAGAGCTTCTCACGTGAGCTGAGAATCGTTTTCATGACAGTTGGCGAAGCCCAGTTGGAAATCAGATGAAATTTAAATCACCTTCGCAGTATCTGGTCAAACCTGAGATACAAAGCGTTGGGCAGCTGTACAGGCATCGCCCGGTGAAAATTGGAGCAGCGTGCCGAAGTCGTTTGAGGAATGGAAGCAGTTGTGAATCCATCAACCCAGGAGCGTGCTCGTCCCGCCGCCTCAGAGCTTTTCAGGTTTTTAGCGCTTAACAGTTCAGTGAGCACGAGCTTACCCAAAGTTGGTTTGGGTTGGAGGGGGGAGGTCCGCGGTTGGATGGGGATGAGTGCCTACTTTCCGGCGAGTGGTGGACGACGGTCAAGAAATGGCAGGTTACATGCTGCTGCCAGATCATCCTGCTTGAAGATGTTTGACGCCAGGATGTGGCGATTCGTCAGCGCCCAGGCTATCCTCTCACATGTCAATGCCTAACAAAAAGCAAAAGATGCAAAAGAAAAGCACCAGTCAGCCATCTAGCAGGCGGCCAAGAATCCAATGCCCTCTGTGGAAAGAAACACTTCGAAACGCTTTCGAGAAAAACGAAAGAACAACGAGGCACACACAGAACAGATGTCAAGTGTCCAGGGTACGGGGAGGTTGGGGGGATGATGCCGTTCATGTCCAAGGAGGCCTTCAGAAGACTTTGCGATTCCCGAACCCGCGGTTTCCCGAATCCGCCCTTTCCAGTTTCGCGAATCCCTGGTTTCCCGAGCCCGCGCTTCTCAGTTTTCTGAATCCGCGGTTTCCCGAATTACGTGTTTCCAGTTTCTGGAATCCGTGGTTTCCGACTCCGCGTCTTCAAGTCTCTCGGATCATGTGTTTCTAGTTTCCGAACCGCGCGTTTCAGCTTCCGAATCAGCTGCTGACTGAAGTTGTTGGTGGGGGCACGGCCGTCAATGTACTGCAGGTTGCATGTGCTGCCGTCGCAGGTTGTGGCTGAAATTCACAATGTGCTCGGGATTGTTGTGTGATCTGACGTCTAGAGTCTAAAGCATTGAACCCCAAGTGTTGCAGCAGTTGACCTTTCCACATGGTCGTAGTGGCGACGACGTGCCGCAGTGCGCAGCCCTTAAGGCCCCCTACACCCCCCAGAACTTCGGGTGTAGAGATGCGGATGTTGGAGGATCACCCTCCATACGCTCCATACTTCCCATCGGAGCACATAGAGAGACAGAGAGAGTTGTCGTGGGGTCGTGCGGACTCGCAGAGAGAGACGAGAGATAAATATCACAGACAGAAAGAAGGGAACAAAGAATGAAAAAAGAAGAAAGAGAGGCTGGTGCCGCGTTTCAAGTTTAGGGCTTATGGGACTGAAAGCCCAGGAAGAAAATTATGTACTCTTTCAAGAACAGGGACCGAGGAAGGCGTCCACTGCCGCTGTGCGCAACGGCAAGGTGAGATATGGGAAGTGCTTGCAGCGTTCCAGCGCCAAGCGTTCACGATTGGGACAGAGAGCACAGGAAGTTCGACAACGGGGGGCCCCGCCCCATGAACACACCAGAGGTCGGTGAGGTTGATGCCAAATTGGTTCGTTACCTGCTATGCGTTTGACTCTGGCTCGCAGCACCTCGAGATACACGCCCCTCACCCCATGCCCTGCACTGTCACGCACCCCCAAACCCAGCTCAACTCCTGAAGCCCGCAGCGCGGCCCATCCGCGGGATGCAGGCCTGGGTGTTCTCATGCGGACGTGTCTTTTGGGAGTCCCTTGGGGTTTCGCACTTTTGCCGCCGCAGCTGAGCAAGGACCAGAAGGAGCCTGGAAAGCTCGGCCAGCACCTCAGCAATGAGCAGTTCCGGCATGTTTCGGCATGTTTCGGCTGGAGCTCTCGCAGGCACTGAAGGTGGCTATCCTGATGGCATGCAGGCGGCGCTTGCAGCCAAGGTGCCACCCCTTAGAAAACATTGTCTTTGATGACTCTAGTACTTCACGGTACTTCAGCAGTCTCAGATGGCAGCGTGCTGTATCCTATTCTGGTGCAGGGCTATGATCTGCTGGACACAGACGGCGGAGGAGCTGATGGCGAAGCTGATGACTCGGAGGAAGAAGATATCTTTGGCAGGAAGGGCATGCACAGTGCAGAAGACAGAGCTCGCCGCCACTGTGCTTCGCCAATTTTATGCTTAAATCTGCAGAGGATCCGCAAGCTGCCGCCAGATACGGCCCGCGAAAAGGGCAAGAAGGCCGAGCATGGCTCAAGCGACGCAACATGGGCGTTCCCCTTGGAGTTGGGGGCGTTGCATGGCGTTGCCATCCGCGTTGCATTGCGTTGCCAAGCATTTCTTTGGGCTCCGCATTTCGGGGGCCAGGCCTTCCAGGATGGCGATTACGACAAAGCAATCCGGTACTGGCAAGGCCAGTTTGTTGTAGAATGTTCAGGAAGGATGTCGGTTTGGTGTGTTCGCAATTGGATTGTGCATGCTCACAATGATACATACTGGCAGCTACTGGCATCCTCGCAAGAGCATCGTGAGGCGGGCTCAAGTCCATTTTGGGATCGCTTTGCCTGGAGCTGAAGTGTGGCTGTCGAGCCCCTCTTCGGGTCGTTGGGTGCCATTACGCACCGGTAGTTTCGAAATAGTTGCTGTAGTACTCTATGACTTTCTGAGCAGAAGGTGCAGGGCCTGCGGCGCTGTCAGATCAGCTGAAGCCTCAGAATCTCGAAATGTCTTCAGCTTCGGGGGGTTTCTCAGCGTGCGCATTGTGCGTCCCACGCGCAGGTCCTTGTCTGAGTTGGACTTGACGCTGAACCTGAACATCGCCGGATCCTTGCGTTCGGCAGCAAAGACGGGACGTGCAGATGATGTGTCGGCGAGGCTATGGCCTACATGAAGAAAGAGGATTTCCATGCTGCTGAGAGGCGATCCGAGTGCATGTGAGCATTCAGCTTTCGCAGCAGCTTCCGCTTCTAATTCCTTTTTCATCCTTTTTCGTATAAGTGTGTGTTCTAAAATTCATGATGCTCCGAAAAAAACCACCCTCATTCTCCTAAGGCCCGAAGACCTGAAAGGACGAATTCCCTAAACCCTACAAACCCCAAAACACAACCTAAGAACCCTCCCACGCCTCCCGATAGATCCAGGAATGAGGGGTAGGTATACTCAACATATGTTTGCAGTGCAGGTCCGTTGACAAAGCCCTTGCCAGAAGAGAGGCATGAGCACATCACGTCTGTTCGAGTGAGAGTGAACGAGGCTCAGATCTGATTTTGCCTGATTCCAGGCACTGCCGGCGCACCTCATCACTAAGGCAGTTCCAGATACATTTTGCCATGTCGTCGTCTTCACATGCATATCTGAAGGCACTTTATCGAAAAGCGATGGCTCAGCGATCAATGCGCAGGAGCTTGCAAGCACGAAATCTGATCTCAGTTTTTATGCGAGCTTCTAGTCTTGGCCGCTGCCACTCGGAACATCGCAGACCAAGTACAGCAGAGCATGGGCCAAGGGCTGCAGATAGGTTCCTGGTGTGCTGGCGTGGGTCGGGGGGGGGGGGGGGGGGGGAGTTGAGAGGCTGGATCAGTGCATGGCCACGCTGGCCGACCTGCTTCAGGCTTCCTGCGCCAGCCTCGAGCCTTCGCCTTCTGGTGCTAACGTTTGGATGCAGGTAGAAGCTGGACACGCCGCCGCCAAGCAAATGCACCAAGAGGTCGATAGCTCAAGAGCATGCTTATGCCAAACAGGCTGCATTGTTACCTCGGCACGCAGGTTGAGCGCGAGTGGGCAAAGCAGTGCCGCGATCAGAAGAAGAACATGAGGCCCGTCACTGCGCACTTGCATGTCAATTTAGATTGCATACACCGCATGGTTGGAGTTGATGGTCGGCAGGAAGCTGTTTGACAAGCTCTCTGGAGAAGACCGTGCCGCGGAGGAGGGCCGCAGGTTTTTCTCAGCTAGCACAGCTCTACTTGAGGCATTCAGGCTGGATACAGTTACAATTGTCCTATCAGAAAGACGCAGCATTAGTCATGCTGGCTGTTTTGTTGCGCGTGCTCTTCTTCAAACATCTGGAATCTGGAAGCCATCGAACAGCAGGAGCAGGAGCGCCAGCAGCGCACAGCGCTCCGTGAACGGCTCGCAACTGAGAGCAAATTTTGTAAATTTTGTAACTCTGTTGCATGGACTATGCCGCGCAGGCCACACATGCCACACGAACCCCCCGTGATTGAGGTCTGGTGTTCGGTGGTTGGATGACGATGTCGACTCAGAAGCCTTTGCAGCTGGCAGTGCACCTTCTTCCGATGGGAAGGCCCCAGGGTTTTGAGTTGATAGGAATTGGGGACCTCAGAGACCTCAGATCCACAAGCTGACGGTGCAGCTCTTGTATTTGCATGCGCTGTCTAAGTGTAAACCAAGCATCCTATCGTGTGTGCCAGGACTGGGGGCTGGCCCTGAGCCGAACGGTGCTGTGGTCTTTGGAACAGCTGGCGCTGGAAGGGCAGCGGCCCTATCCTGATGTGCTGGACACTTCGGTTGATGTTAATTGCTCACGTTCGTCCAACTCCCTGACTTTGCCTGCCCCATACTAAAGTTAGTTTGAAACTAGCTTCCGGACACGTTGCAGCAGCAGTACCTGTCAGCGGGAGCAGGTGTCTCTGCTGCCCAGAAGGCCTTGGCAGGAAACCAAGCTGAACTGACTAACTGACTGACTGACTGACTGACTGACTGACTGACTTGCTGCAAGCTCTTTGCTTACCACGCTTTCTGCCCGAGCAATGCAGCTCAGGCAGAGCCACCTTCTGGTTCTTGGGCGCGTGATGTGGGCATGTTTTGCTGACTAATCTGGGGGGGCTTTGTCCAATGCCCCAGCCGCTTGCAGGTCATCCACCTGCGAGCTCAGATGGCTTAAACCAGCCGAACTTCTGAAGTGACTGACCCAGCCAGTTGTTCGAAGTAGCTACAAGTTACCGAAAGCTGCATCACGTCAGCAGACTATATAGGTTGTATTATGAAAGCCTCGGGGATTTGTAGAGCATTGCGCCATGAACGCCTGCCCTAGGCGGCTTCCTGGCATTCACTGCCTGGAGCCAAAAGCTCAGCAAGGGGAGAGCTCGGCTGCGCGGTTTGCCTGCTTTGCTCTCTGTGGGAGGCTTGAACTCATTGGCTTCCTTGGCGAGATAGACCCCGACAACTCCCGGGTGCCTGAGGGGTCCATATAATGTCGGTGAGTGTTCTCGCAGCAGACTTGAAATTTGGATTCTCATTATGTTGAACCCTCTTGAACCGCAAGACAGTTAACATGTGTGAACATGCTTTGGAGCCTTTCCTTGAAACCATGCTGCTGGCGGCTCCCAGGTCCAGCTTTCCTAGCCCTCCGGGATGTGCTGGGACTTTCAGGGTCTTCCAGTGTCTGCTTCAGGGGAGCCTCGGGCTTGGAAGCTGAAAAAAGGTGATAATTTCAAGGCTGTGCAACCCGCCTTGGCTGGGTCGTGCTTGCAGAAGCCGGCATGTTGAATCGAGCTCTAACTTCCAGAGCTTCCATTCCCTTGAGCTCCCAAGCTGCCCTTGCATGGCTCAAAGCCCGACTGCGTAAGCGGCCTGAGAGTGGGACAACCGAAGCCATCATCACCTTCGAACCGTCTGCAACCCCAATTCCAGAACCTCTGCGGCCACGCGAGGTCCACAGGAGTCCATGAGAAGCAAGTGGAGGGCGGGTGGGGGGGGTGTGGTGGAGGGAGGGGAAGGCGGGGTTTGCATGTTCAGTATGAATGGCGTTCCACGATTGTGTGATAACATTCAATAGCCGCATAGCAAGGGAATCAGCGAACAAAAGCCGAATGGTGGAGTCGAAAGCTTCCATCAGTCCGTGTGAAGCATAAACCCTTTCGATGTCCGTCCCCTACGGTCGGCCCCAAATGCCGTCTGGTCCTGGCACACCGTCCGCGACCTGGGGGGGAACCCTCGAACCCGCACGCGCACCCGGGCACCCGCGCGCACGTGCACTTGCGCACACGCGCACTTGCGCACACGTGCACTTGCGCACACGCGCACTTGCGCACACGCGCATGCGCACACGCGCGCACTTGCGCGCACGCGCGCACTTGCGCACACGCGCGCACTTGCACGCGCGCTTGCGCGCATGCGCACTTGCGCACACGCGCACTTGCGAGCACGCGCACTTGCGCACTTGCGCACTTGCGCACATGCGCACGTACTTGCGCACATGCGCACATGCGCACATGCGCACTTGCGCACTTGCGCACTTGCGCATACGCGCGCCTGCGCACACACGCATGCGCGCACGTGCGCACGCGCGCATGCGCGCACATGGGCACACGCGCACACCCAGCCAGCCAGCCACCCACCCACCCCCCTGCCCGCCAACACCCACCCACCCACCAACCCACCCCCACCCACGCACCCCCACCCACCCACCCACCCACACACCCACACACCCACACACCCACACACCCACACACCCACACACCCACACACCCACACACGCACGCACACACACGCACGCACACACTTGAGTTGAAGTCAAGTTGACAAGAAAACATGCAGAACGGAGCGGAGCTCGAAGCATGTACGTAGGGGCGGCGTCCCAACCTATTTCACGGGTCAGGATGGGGGTCTTCATTGGCGCCTGCCCCAGTCCTTTCCCCGGGTGCCCCCCTGCTGAGAACAACACGCGAAAACATTGAAAACTTGAGCGCGGACCACATGTTCACAAACCCTGGCATTTACAACGCGTACCGAAACTTGCGACAACATTGTGCATTGCTCAACCTCCGCTACCCTTGGTCCCAGGGAATCCCACACACAAAAGCCAACTTAGCACGCAACTATTCTCGCATCACTCGTGCTTGAGCTTGAGACCGTCATCAATAAATCCAAAGTGTGTGTACTCACTTGTGAAGTCGCGCTTACGCCATGCATCGGTCAAGTGGGGACATGTGCCAGTTGCCACCATGCAGCACACACATATGCCATGCACGGCCACGCTATGCATCGTTCAAGTCACGCCAAGCATACGATTCCAAACGTCACATCGCTTCTGTCATGCACAATCATGCAAATCCGTTGCGCAAGTCACTCTGTTGCGATGTGCAGCTCACTGCACTCGACAATCGTGCCATGCCACGTCGTTCAAGTCAAGCCAAGCGCAATACTTCATGCATCACACGGCTCGGGGTGTACTTGCAACCTTCAACACATGTACAAGTTGTCAGGCAACACGGCCTTCGGGCCATACACACGACCTCCATGCATCACATTACCACCATGAAGCGCTCGTCATGATGGAGAGTTTTGTGCGGAAACGCTTTTAGGCGATGCCATGGAGGATGCTTTCGAGGTGGTCAAAACTGGTACCCTACAACACAGGTCATGCTTCCTAATGCAATTGCTGAACGACATGCCTTGACAACAACAATCACGGAGTAGTAAGAGCGTGTTCTGTTACAGCGAGTTGATAGCCGCATCACCTGGTCTGGATCTGGTCCGCAACACTTTGGTCCTGAAGATTTCTGGTCTCAAAACAATCTGGTCCATGGGGTATCTTCGCAGGATCTTCTTGTCACGCATAACCTTGCAAACCAGGTACGCCAACTTTACTGCTTCGACATGTACACTGTACACCCCTTTTGGAACTGATCAGCTTGTGCTGGACTTACAAACTGAAGCTCGCAAAGGGAAATACAGCGACTCTCGTCTTTCGGCACACGCACACGCACACGCACACGCACACGCACACGCACATGCACACGCACGCACGGGTTGCCAAGTATAGCAATCTAAGCAGAAGCACTGTTTTCCACGGTGACAGGTTCCTGACCCCAATGTCGACAAGCTGCCAGAGGCCACGAAGCAGCTCCCGGCTTTTCGAAGTCGGTTCTGCGCACAAAGTGGCGAAGCTACGTAGAGTTGGCGCAGGGCATCGTCGAAGCCAAGTTGGATGAGCGCCAAGCCTTGTGCCAGCCTCTGGTACGCCTTCGCGACGACCGAACTACTGTAGATTTCGTATCAGGATAAGGGCCACCAAAGGGTCCCTGGAGGAGGCCTTGGAGAAGGACTGAGACGAGCTTGGAAGAGAAAAGGGCTTTCCATGCTTTCCCAGCGTTGCAAGAGCTTTAGAAACCTTACTAAGCTTATATTCCTCTCTCCGGGAGGAGCTGGTTCCACCTCCAGATGCGGACGGCAAGGAGGTGCTTTTGATGCACTTTGTTCTGCACTTCTGCTCACGCAGCTATGCACAGCTTAACCATGAGCCCTGACAAGTCTTCGGCGAACCTGCGGCCACCTCGGCCACCCAGAAGCTTTTGGCTCAAAGTGCTTGGGCTTTCGAAGTGTCTGCTGAGTCCGCCGAGAGGGCGGCCGCCAGGCCCAGATGTCCAAAGAAGGAAGGTGGATGAGAGTTATCCCGACGTATCCAGAATAATTTTGCATCGACTAACGTTCGGTTGCTGGACTTGTTCGCGTGAATTGGAGAAAATTGGAGAGGCCGTGCGATGGCGCCGAGCCTGAAGCGCTTGGCCACCTTGTGCCTGATACCAGTAAAGCTGGCATGGTGTGTTGTGAGTATTGCTAAATTAATCTGATGCGCACCCCACAACAGAGGGACATTCAACACTTGGTGTGGCAGGCACGGGTTGCAAGTGCCGGTAACGAGGCAACGGCCCACCTCATCGCTCCATCACGCGTGTCGCAAATGTCACAAACATGCGTGCATGTGCATGCTGTACCGTTCTTTCCTGTGAAGGACATTGGTCAATGTAGAGAAAAGGGTTCTGGCCGGTCCTGCGACGAAAGAATAAGCGAAGATGGATCTGACAGCTCCTGGCCTACTTAGATTATCTGCTTGCCTTCAGTGTCTCATTCATGCTTCAGAGCATATGTGTGAGGTTACTTCGGATATTTGTGGCTTGGCTGCCAATCGTGTACAGCCCTGGCTCTGATTGAAAACATGCAAACAAGTTTTACTGCAGGTGGTCCATCATGTCCAACTCGAAGGACATGCTGTGCTGATGGCCTTTGCTGACTCCTCTCGCTCCGCATGATCTCTCTCGCTAACGTGCCCTTTCGAGTGTGTGGAGCTTGTGGTCAGGATGCCGTAAACGGCTACGAGGGACGATTTCAAGATGAGTCCCTGACAGAGCGGACCACAACCGATGAATACTATGATCTGGCGACCGACTTCTACTTGTATGGATGGGGCTCGTCATTCCACTTCGCAACACGCTTCCTGGGCGAGAGCCTTGAAGACTCCATCGTCAGGCCAGGTCGCTGGCATCTGAAGCTACCTGCCATTACCCGCGCATCATTGTCTATTGTCTGATTCAGCCCCCCTCCCCCCCCCGGCTAAACCCCCGCCCCCAGGCCTCCGGGCGGCCTTTTTCGCTCCAACAGCTAAACGGTTAAACCAAGTCGCTTCCACATCCAGCCAAGTTACAGCCTACGCATCCAAGCCGGCAAGCTTGATGAATAGATTGTGTGTGGAAACACGGAAATGCGAGGGAGCTCGCTTTGCCTCCAGAATCCTGCTTCCAGCCTCCCCTGCTGGAAGTCGGATGACTGTAGCTGCAACCTGATCTGCACGAGCCGGCATGAAAAAACCTACTGTACCTCAAGGCCCAACAAAGTCTTTCGTGGTCTTTAGCTTCTCATTCCAGCATGTCATTTTGGACCAACTGTTTGTTCATGGTCCCACATCTGGCAGATTCCATTTCCTTGGAATCCAAGCTGAAGCTGCTACCTTTTGCAAGCACGAGCTTGCGGCTGGCACGAAGAGCCTCTCGCCCCTACCACCCGAGTCTTCCGTTGGTGCTGCCGCTTCGCTAGGTTTCCCTTGCGGCTTCGGCATAGTCTGTTCACGCTAAATGTGAGTGTGGATGTGTGGGTTATCTGAGCTCATGCTGCAGCAAGGCTACAGAAGATGATTGGTACGTAGAATATGCTCGAGTGCCAACCCACCTGCGTTGCCATGCAGGGACCGGAAGCCGGAGCCCCCGCAGGGCGGCATGAGCACCTAAAAACTGCTGCACGTTAGAGCCACAAAGGGGCGGGGTACGAGTGCCGCCTGTCCAAGCGCACCTTCATTCATGAAGCGTGCCAACTGCGCACGCGTGTGATCGCGGGCCGTGCGCATTGCCACACGTATGTCCTGCGTGAAGAGGGGAAGGTCCGAAAAAACGTCGGGAAAGCAACAAAAGAGGAGCAGGTTTTTGCAGCATGCGCAGTGCGCATGAACCCATGCCAGCACTGCTACAAGATGTGGAGACAAATCGTGCATATGAGTGCCAGGGAGGAGAGGAGGAGTGGAAACAAGTTGGTTGTTGCTGTGAAGGAGTGATTGTGCCAGGCCCTCGATCGGTTCGAGGCAAGGTCATTGTTGGTTGGTTGGTGGCATACCCAGCCGCAACTGCGGCAAGGGAAATGCGCACAAGACCTGGTTGCGAAGATCGCAAGCAAGTACAGGGAAATAGCCTGACATCCCTTCGATCTGCAAATGAGGAACGCCCCAGAGATCATTCTGATGGCTTTGCAGCTACAGCATTGCTGCGTCCGGTCCGTCGGCGGATGCGTGCGAAGACAACGGCCTCCATGATGATAGGGTTAACACACAGGCAACCATGTGCTGGAGCAGCCGTTAGCAAAATGGAGATGGCAGCACTATCGGCTAAAGAGCAATTACGGTGTTCAACTATGCGTCCTCCCCCACCTTGCTATGGCCGCAGCTTCAGCTAGGACTTTAGATACTTTAGTATAGATCTTAGTTATAGTTTTTGTAAACGTCAATTGCTCTTAGAAGCCCACCTGGCGGTCAGTTGAGTGCATCCTTTGCTGCAACTCCCCCTGCCTGGAGACCTCCGCAAGCCTTATAAGCTCCTACCAGCGAGCCTTCCAGCATGCCAACATGATCCAACATGATCCAACATGCAAGTCGCGACATCAAACAGGTGCTTGGTTGATGTGTCCATTGTTCGGATGCAGGCACGAGCATTTCCTAGCAGCGAAGCTGGGGCTGAAGCCTGGGCACAAGGCCCGTTGCTGGAGCTGCCGTGAAAGCAACGGAGCGGCAGAAGCCCGTGGTTTTGAGGTAGCTGATCTGGGCATGGGCGTTGGAGGACCGTTGAGGTCCTTTGCAGAGGGGTGCTATGGGCTATGGACCATGAAAATTCTGAGCTGCTCCTGAAAATTTCACAGGTCCATACAGAAATTCAGCAACGCCGATGTAACGGGTGTGACAATCAATGATTATCAGGCCGGCGAACAGCCTTTCGCTGCATCATGCTGCGCCCAGCCTTTCATGCACTTTCCAGCAGTTCTCCCCTAATTCTCTCTGGAAGGTGCGCCGCGCAAAGAAATTCACAAAGCGGGAGTGCAGCGCCGCCTCGGCAAGTCACATAGCGTCAAGGTTGCACTCAGCGCGTTTCGTGCGCGACGATCCACCGTGGGCACCAACGTCGCAGCACATAGCAGCTAACATTGTAGGCTTACATGTGGCTTACATGTATCTTCAGGAGTACAGGCAAGGCGACTTCACCAAGCTGGTTCCTGACGTGTTCGCAGCGGAGCGATTTGGTGTGTCAAATGCTACGGTAGGGCATCTGTAGTGGAGAGAATGGGGAGCATATTTATGCAGGATGCGCACGTCAGGAGTCTCTGGATGCTGTGTACTACATCGAGTCTTCCTGCCACATAGCTAACCGGACAGCCTCCTGGTTGCATTTATGCCGGGTGCGTGTTTTGGCCTGCTGCCGTGTCTATTCGTAGCACGATTCTCTTGATCCAGTCATCCGGTTTCTCAGGAAGTCTTCCTCGAGTCAGCGAAAGCCTTGAAGAAAGGTGGGAAGCTTTTCTCCTATGAGTCGCCAGGATGCAACTAGCGTGGGTCGCGCTGCTGCCCCTATGCATGCCTGGCCTAGTCTTTCGCATCATTGGCCGCTTGTGCTCAGATCTGTGGTAGTGACTCTGACTTTGGGCAGGTGGGTCATGACAGACCGCTTCAACCCCGCTGATCCCGATCATGTGGCAATCAAGAAAGGCATCGAGATCGGTGATGGGATCGAGGCACGTTCCCACCATCTTTCCCCTACCGTGGCCATGCGCTCCCACATGGAATCTTCAGGACCTTGTGGGAATCCGCGGCCCGCTAGAAGGCCTGAACAACAGTGGCTTCCGAATTCTAGAGCATGGCCGCTTCGCTCACTTGGTTTCAACGTGTTGCTGTCGGCTCTGCGTCGGCTTTGCGTCGGCTCTACAATCCAAGGTGACTTGGTTGATCTGGCAGAGGCCGAGACGCCGTCAGAATGGAATGTAAAAGTTGAAGCGGAGCATGTGTGCAGGAGTGGTATGGCGACCACAATGTGCCATGGTATTACGACATGGTGTGGATCACAGTGCCGTGAGTCCAGAAAACGAGCCTGTAGAACCATGCAACCTGTACTGTCCTGTACTCAGGCACAGTTCTACTCCTTTGCCTCTTTCAGAACTTTTGCATTATCAGAATTTGGCCAACGGGCCCTCGGCACGCTGCTGTGGCTAGCTGCCCAGGCCGATTGTGGCCCAATGACTGTTGAGTTTGTAGAAAGGATTTCGGGATTCAAGGGGTTTCTTTAGGGGTTTAGGGATACGAGCCCAGCAACAAAAAGGGCTTTAGGGATTTAGGGGTTTACGGATTCAGTATTTCCCTGGGGGGTTTTGGGGTTTCAGGGAGGTTTAGGTGTTTATGGAGGTTTTTGTTCAAGGGTTGAATGCAGGTTGCTAACTGCTAACTTCCCAACACTTTCAGACTGATTCGTTGTAGAAACGACACGGAACCAAAACTAGAAATCGGCTTGGGACTAAGTATATATGTAGACACGTGTGTGTAAACAACCAAGAAGCAGGTAATGCAGTAGAAGTTATGAAAACCTCATATTTTCTGGTTGGTTTTGGGTTCCCGCATACAGTACACGAGCCGTTAAACATAAAGCCAAGACACTGGGTTTTTAGGCGGCTTTAAGAGCACAGCCCCGTAATGCGGAATGTAAATTCCTGTGTATTGTGCTGAGCACAAATGCATATGTCTGTATCGACAAACGAGAATATGAAACAACAAACAGAGGAGGGGTGGACCATGGGGGGGGGACTGTACATCTACACGCATATATATATATATATTCTAATAATATATATATATATATATACACATGTACATACATGTATATGTATAGACGAGAGCTGCATGAAGTCAGCTTCAATACATGGTTCTGTGACTTGCTGTGCAGGTTGGCCTGGTGCCTGAAGAGGCTTCCAGGACCGAGCAGATGCTTCGGCAGGCAAGCATCAACCTGGTCAAAGGTGGCAGCTCGGCAGCGCTAGCGTCAGTGCATAGTGCAGGTCGAAAGAGTAAATGCAGTGCAGTTGAGTTGAGCGTTCTCCGTTTCCCGTCCCTCCCCCCCAAAGACCCCTTCCCCCACCACTACCACCACCACCACCACCAACACCACCCCCACCACCACCACCACCACCCCCACCACCACAACCACCACCCCCACCACCCCCACCACCCCCACCACCCCCACCACCCCCACCACCCCCACCACCCCCACCACCCCAACCCCCACCCACACCACCCCCCCCACACCCCACCCCCCACCCCCCCCCACCCCCACCACCCCCCCCCACACACCACCCCCACCACCCACCCCACCACAACCCCCACCCCCCCAACCACACCCCCACCACCCCCACCACCCCCACCACCCCCCCACCCCACCACCCCCAACCCCCCACCACCCCCACCACCCCACCACACCGCCACCCCCCACCACCACCCGCCACCCCCCGCCTGGGGGTGGTGGGGGTGGGGGGTGTGGGTGGTGGTGGGGGTGGTGGGGGGGGGGGTGGTGGGGTGGTGGGGTGGTGGTGGTGGGGGTGGGGGTGGTGGGTGGGGGTGGGGGTGGGGGGGGTGGTGGGGGTGGTGGGGGTGTGGGGGTGGTGGTGGGGGTTGGGGGTGGGGGGGTGGTGGGGGTGGTGGTGGGGGGTGGGGGTGGTTGGGGGTGGTGGGGGGGGAGGGGGGCGGGGGGGGCGGTGCGGTGGGTGGCGGGGGGCGGGTGGCGGGGGCGGGGGTGGCGGGGGTGGCGGGGGTGGCGGGGGGGGCGGGGGGTGGCGGGGGTGGCGGGGGTGGCGGGGGTGGCGGGCCGGCCCCACCACCCCCACCACCCCACCACCCCCACCACCCTCACCCCCCCCACCACCCCACCACCCCCCCCCACCACCCCCACCCCGCCCTCCCGCGGGGCCGGAACACAGAGAACTGCCGTGGAGTTGTGCCACTTGGGTAGTGCCAGGCGAGCTGAAGATCTTCACTCCCATGTACTATGTCGTGGCCGAAAAGATTTAGGTAGCATATGCACAATTTGCAGGTCGAGCCACTAGTGCCTGAATGTGCCTGCAGTCCTGTTACAGACATGGTCTACACGGGTGCAGATCCGTTGGCCATCCAGGTGTCACTCGTTTTCCCTCGTGTCACTCATGTTTTTCGACCAACCAGCGCTTCTCGCATTTTCCAGCTTGCGGTGGCTGGCCCGAGAGAATCAGAGGGTTCAGAGCAGTTGATCCTTCCGACGTTGATTGAGTCAAATAGGTCAAGCTTCTGGAAACAGGCCTTGCCGCAGGTGTGCTTCATCGCGCACCCACAGTTGTCCCTATCTCAGAGGCCGTCAGACGACAGCCGTGGTCAGAGTGTGCCGTGTGCGCCAAATGACGTGATGCCGGACAGCTGTGTGGGATCAGACCGGGCTTAGATGCATTGATGGAGCGAAACTATCACTACAGCAGTAGGTTTCCCTTACCCGCAAAGCCGGGGTTTCCAGCAACTGCTTGTTCGTGAGTATCTCTCAACTGCCCTTTCCAGACAGTCCCCAAACGAACTCAAGGGTTCAGGGCTCATGGCTTCTACCTGCTCACGAACCCTACGAAGACCATGCCGAGCTCTGTGGTCCACTCTTTGCTGGGGCTGTGCTCTCTCCTTGGGTTGGGAGGTCGCCTTCTGTGGGTCAAGGCCTGGAATGGCGGAAGAGATGGCCAATATGGCTACTACTAGAAAGGCAGCAAATGGCTTCATGTTCTTCAACATGCAGGGATCCGAAACAGAGAAGTTTGTGGTGGGGAAGATTTTCCCATTGGTCAAAGACTTGCCAAACGATTTTTCGGCCTTGGACTGGCAGCCGCTGGATGCAAGGGGGACGCGTTATTTCAATGCTATGGACCCAACCTGTGCGAAATACTACGCAGCTGCAAAGCTTGACTCCTGGCCCCCTACCAGGCAGGACGAGTGGAAGTCCAGGGGTGGACGAAGCTTGGCAGCTAACGGCACCCACGGCGCCCCTTCCCGGCTTTCTTCTTTTTTCTAGCACAGCAGACGAGATTCTTTAAACTTCTTTGACTCTTTGTGCCTTTGTGTAAGCGGAGCGTCCCCGCCCAGGAGATAGCAAAGTTGATGTGGACTTCCTGGAGTTCGCCCCTCCAACGCTACCTTTGAAACTGCGTGCTGGTACCGTGGACGTTGCCTTGTTGCAGCCTAGCGCTGCGACGGACATGGGGAAGAAGCTCTACCGCCAGATCTTCCGCGAGACGGCAAGGGTTCTGAAACGTAAAGGCCAGTTCCTCGTGTTCACTTCCAGATCTGAGAGATTGCCTGACACGTCACAGAATTACTTTGAGATTGATGATGCAGAAAAAGGCGGGGACGGAGTTACCTATTACTTGCTCACTCGCAAAGCGAGGAAAAAGAAGAAGAAGAAGGTACAAGATGACAAAGATGAGATTCAACAGCCTCGGCAGAAGGTCTTGGGCTTTACGCTGAACGAGCTCGAAGATGCCCTGGAAGACTAGCGCCGAAAGTTCTCCTAAAGGTGATTTGAGGCTCAAGACATTGCGCGAGGGGCAAGAAAAGTGAATTGACAATGAGCTTGCTGTTCGTTTCAGCATCTGAGGAGGATCTCTGCAAGCTGAAAGGGAGGATTCTGAGAACTGAGGCACAGGTACTTCTCCGAGTTTCATCCCGCGATTAGTTGGCTGATAACGCGGCAGCCTCGGTAATTGCCGAAGTTGAGTTCACTCCACAAACTTCGTTTACTCTCAGACTTCTTTCAGCCTCCCTCGACTCAGGAAGCAAGTGCCAACCATCATCATTGGTGCTTCCGATCCGGATCCATCCTGGAAGCAGGAACAGATCCAACATGATCCAACAATGGACAAGAAACTCTTTGCGTGTGAGCAGAGATGCCCGCCTAGGGTTGCATTACAGGGCGACAATGGCCTGCCATCTTCTTGACACGAGGATGAGCAGCTGCTCAGAAAGCTGGGTGCTGACCTTGTTGTGCGTGCCTTAAAAGGGTTCCCTTTCACCTTCGTCATGGGTGTTGTAGTGTCGCGATGTTCAGGTCACTAAGAGGGAGAGCCCCTATCCGATGTGCCTGCCTGGGAACTCAACAGTCAAGAAATGCAGCCAGCGTCCCATTTGTGCGGTCGCAGGCCACAATTGCATTGTGCTTTAGACACGACAGTCTGGTCGTTGGCCATCGTGAGGTCACATTATTGGCTTCTGTGGAGGAAAAGCGCCTCCATCGGCAATGAGACATGTGAATTGCCAGCAGTTGCGCCAGCAGCTTGTACAACAAACAAGGCGATTGAGCGAGACAAGCTCATGAATGCCGGGAGCTCGCGGAAGTTGTCCCGTACGTAGAGTCATGGAGTCCAGCTGATTTTTTCTCGGGCCTTCTTCTTGATCTGCGATTCAGGTCAAGCTGGATCTGCTTGCGCAGGACTACAGCGTGCGGTAGCCGGACGTCGGCAGAAGCAGGAGACAGCAGGATCATCACCTACCTCGTATCGTCGCTGTGGTGCTCACGTCGCCCAAGTCCGCCAGAGAGGGCAGCCGGCAGCCTGCGTACCGGACATTACCAGACCACGTTTCGTGACTTTGAGAAGGCGGCCAATAGGAGATCCAAAGACCGGAGAGAGCCTCTCAATCACGAGAGGTGGCGATGGCCCCGTGCCAGAAAAAATGCAAGGAGTTTGGGAAGCTAGGGCGCATATGTGGTCGTGTGCAACCCTAAACCCTAGAAAAGGAGAACCTTAAACCCTCAACCCTAAAACCTTAACACCCTAAAGCCCTCGGGCCTAAACACCAAAAGTCCGAAAAACAAACCCCAAAACCCTAAACTCTAAACCCGAAACCCAAAAACCAACCCACACCCACACAAAAATCACCTCATTTTCTACCACCGTTTATACTACAGCAATTTTACTGTAGGGCCAGGGCCGTAATTCATTTCAGGTGCCCTCGCCTGTGCTCATTGCCTATGCTGCAACATTTGACTGCCTTAAATCGGGGGTTCAAGGGCTCCAAGCCCTTCTGCTTCGCTGGCACTGCAAGCTCCAGCTGCGAGCCCAGCCACGCGCATCGCATTCCTTGCTCTCGCTGCTCGGGACCACCCCGCAGTGCAGAGCTCTGTTCTGCAGAGGCTACAAACCCGTGACGCGATGAGACCCTTGTCATCCTGCGGAAAGGCTGTTTGATGGCCTTTGCCTGAGTGCATCTCATGCTTGTAGGAAGCGAAGCGACATCATAGCACAAGAAGCCGCGCGGAAGCGCACGCACACCCACATAGTACCTTGTCAGTGGTCGTAGCACAAGCGCCAAGAGAGATGCCCATAACTTTAAGTTCGCTGGAGAGCCAAGGTATTGGTTTCAGCGAAAAACATGCCGGCATGATGTTGAATGGTCCGCACCTTGAACCTGTCAAAATTCTCTGAAGCTTGTGTCGGCGCTTCACACGCAGGCCGAAGCAACTGAAGTCGGCTTCATCTACCAGCGAGAGACTGAGCAAGGTGTCACCAGCTATTTCCTACGCTTTGAAGCTCCTGTTATCTTTGGGTATCCTGGCTTTCGTCTGGATGTACTTTTTTGGGAATGCGAGGTGCGTTCTATGTGGATCCTTTGCTGCTGTGAACTTACCATGCAATCACCGCGCCCATGGCGAAGCCTGATTTCGTCTGAGGTGTGGGTAGTTGATGCTTTAGAACCCACAGAGGCCTGGCTGGGTTAGGGCCGAAGAATTCTTCGTTGAGAAGGATTGGCATTGCCAGGTGTCGCAACGAGCCAGTGCTCTCAGTGCCCGACTCAAAGGTTCTTTATGGCGTCAAGGAATGTCAGAGCGTGAGAGTGTCTCTGTACATGCGACTCCTAGCGCGCACAAGATCGGAAGCAGGGGGCAGCGTGCAGCATGTTGCTTTCAGCAAAAAACAGCAACATGCTTCAGCAACATCTCCAAGGTGTCAGTGCAGTCATGTTTTCATGGGTTCTTTGTACAGTGTGTCCTACCCGTGGAACCTTTGGCCCAAAACCGACAGGGCCCTTGAGTCGCTAGCAGCGCCTGCCATAAAAGCTGCGTTGCTGCTGTTTACCAACACTGGTAGCGGAGCGAGTGTAAGTCGGGACCTTGGGTTGACCGCATCCGCCCTACCACCCTCTGAGAGGTCCACGGACCCAGAGGTTTTTACCTTTCGTGCACCCGCCCTTGCGGCTGAGCGTGCCCCACTGCACCTCGCCTCGGCGGAGCGTGCCCCACTGCACCTCGCCTCGGCTGAGTGTGCCCTACTGCACCTACCGACCGAGCGTGCCCCATTGCACCTCGCTTCGGCTGAGTGTGCCAGCTGCACCCCGCATTTTGCGGCGAGTGCCCTATGCCCCCGCCGCAACAGCGGACGTGGAGGGCAAACGCCGGAGACCGGCACGAGCCAGAGGAGGAGGACGACTACACGGAAGAAGAAGAGGAAGAAGAAGAACCTCCTCAGACGGACCCCGTGGTGCCGAGTTCTCCAGGCCGAGCGCCCCCGCAGCAGCAGCGTGTGGCGACCAAGAGCCAACCACCGCTGCCACCTCCGGCGGCGCCTGAGCGCGCCCCGTCAGGGAAGACGAAGGAGGAAAGGAAGAAGGAGAAGAAGGAAAGGGCGCGCAGAGAGAAGAAGGAGCAGAAGGAGGCAAAGAAGGCACGCAAGGAAGACCGTGCAGAGGCTCACGAGGGACGAAAGGCCCCGGAGCAGAAAGGAGCCCAGGCGGCCCAAGACGGAGCACCCACGAGGGAACCACTTCCCCGGGTGCACAGCGTGGCAGCTGCCAAGGCGAAGAGGGACGCTGCCCTCGCCACGACGGCCGCCAAGGCGAGGCCCCCGAGCAACGACACTGCGGACGGGGAGCCACCCCTTACGCCAAGGGCGCGTGCTGCGGGACACAACCCCTACGAGGACGACCTCTACGATGGAGACCCCAGCGCCGGTGGCAGTGCACAGGGAAGCCAAGCTACCCAGCTCACGCCACCCGGTCCTCCACCCGTAGTTCCCGGCCTCGGCGACGGGACATGGGTGTGGATCGCGCAGCCCGCTGGTCACTCCTACTGGTTCTTTGCCCCCGCGACAACGCCAACGTCACGTGGAAGCGAACGGCCACGAACACCACCGAGAGGTCCGGAGCGGCCTCCGGCGGCGACGCGCGGCAGGCCGCCGTGCGACTGGCGAGACTACGACGGTGACGACAGCAGGGACTCCCGGGACTCCCGCCGTAACCAGCGTGGTCGCTCGACGCGCCGGGCGCCGCCGCGAACAAGGCAACGTTCGCCCACCCCGCGCAGAGACGCGGAGCGACCCCCACGCGCGCCAAAGGGGAAGTCGCAGAAAGGCAAAGGAGCCAAGGGCAGGGGGAAGAAAGGAAAGAAGGAAAGAGTCTCCGGCAAAGGCACAGGAGGAGACTACAAGCGCCGCAACCGCCCCGGACTGGCCCAGAGGCGCCGCCGGCGGGAAGCGCAGGAAAGGGCAGCAGGCCCTCCGCGCCGCCCGCGCGCCAAAGAGGAGCCCCGGGACGACGCGCCGGTGAAGGAAGAGGCCGCGGAGGGAGATGAGAGACCCCCGGCCGACAGGCGTGGCGGCCACCGCCACGACAACGACGAGCCCAATGATGAAGGTGACGATGAGGACGACGAAGAGCAGGCCGAAAGCGAGCCGGCGACGACGGACCCCATCGTCGACCTCACTCCGTCCGAGCTTGGTGAGAGGCCTTCGACGCCCAGTGGCAAGGCAGCCAGCACGGGAAGGCCCTGCAAGCCTCCAAGCGCTTCCGGAAGGTCTTCAAGGCCTCGAAGCGGTCCTGCCCCCTTGTCACCACTGGCACCCGGGCTTGGCTCACCAGCTCGACTGTCCAATCGGACACCAAGCGCCCTCGGCTTGAGCGGAAGCGCCAAAACCTGGGACCCCAGGAGCGGCCCTGCCCCCGGCGTGAGATGGAAGAGCGGTGCACCACCAGTGCCGCCCCGCTACGCGGCGGAAGCCAAGGAAGTCGGAACTTTCGACCGCTACGCCAGGAGGGTACGCCTGTGGGCAAAACGGGCTTCCGGCTGGATGACGGATGGAGACGCTGCGCTCCTCCTCGTCGAAAGCCTGACAGGCGCAGCAGAGCGCGAGCTGGAGTTCGTGGAGCTCGCGACGCTCGAAGCCGAGGGAGTTGAAGGAGTGCTCAAGAGGCTGGAAGCCGCGTCCAACGAGCAGCTCGTCTACCGCAAGCACCACTATCTCCGAGGATGGGAACAGGTGCGACGCCTTGGAGGCGAGTCCATGCGGACCTACGTGCGCAGGTTCGACCAGCTCCACAAGCAGCTTGCGCATGTGGGCGTGGACGTGGCAGCCATGTACAGTGGCGAGGCCCTCGGCCACCGGCTCCTCGAGAGGTCTGGTTTGTCCTCCGAGCAGGCCCGGATGGTGCTGATCGGCTCGAGCCAGTCCTTTGAGTACGCCCCCATCCGGGACTCGCTGCTGTTGCAGTACCCGGACACGCTCCCTGTTCCCCCCATCGCCAGTGGCCCTGGGAGTGGCAAAGGGAAGCCGAAGGGCGACAAGAACAGGTCGCAGAAGGTCCACGTGACCACCCACGACGAGGATGACCACCAGTCCCCGGAGGCACCGGACCAGAGTCACCCGGACGTGGACGAGCTCACCAGCGCCCTTGAGGTGCTGACTGTGACAGCCCAGAAGCTCAAAGCCTTTACGCAGGGCAGACGATGGTCGGACGGCAAGGGCAGCCCCACCAGTCCGTCCAAGAGACCTCCTGCCACGGGCAAGCCCTCCTACCACCACGGTAAAGGGAAGGGCAAAGGCGACAAAGGCAAGGCCTCGAAGGGCAAGGGTCCCTCGAAGGTCCATGTCGCCGAGAACCTCGAAGAGGAAGGCGCCGACCATGGAGACCATGAAGATGCCGAGTGGCACGACCCCAACGAGGCGCCAGAGGTAACTGAAGGAGACGAAGGAGAAGGTGACTACGGCCAGGACGACACCTACGAGTCCTTCTTTGTCTGGATGACAAACTGGGAAGGCCAGGCAGACGAGCACCCAACCACGGTACCCCCGCACGTGTCACAGGTTCTGGCGTCTGCGCCAGACACCGCGGCAGGGCTCATGGTGGTGGATACGGCGTGCCAAAAGACCTGCATAGGCCGCAGAGCCTACCTGGCCCACTGTGAGGTCCTGCGACAGTTCGGCCTCCGGTGCTCCTGGACTCCCGAATCGGAGTACTTCAAGTTCGGCGCAGGCCCTCCAAAGAGGTCATCGATGTCGCTGGCCATTCCGGCCGCCATCGAGGGGAAAGCGATGGTACTCATTGCCTCGCTGCTGGAAACAAGCATCCCTCTGTTGGCCTCCCTGCGTCTCTTGAAACAGCTGGGAATGGTCCTGGACCTAACGAAGCAGTGCTGCCACCTGAGCACGCTCGGGGTCACCGTTCCCCTCAGTGTCACCCTCGGAGGGCATTTGGCCCTACGTGTCACCGACTTCAAAGAAGAGATGCCAAGATCTGCGGACACTTGGCACACGAAGCGAAAACAAGGTGAGGAAGTGGTTGTGGACCCAGCCTTGGTGCCTGCATGTGACCACGAGTGCGGTGTCGACTGTCACGCCTCTGTGTGGACCGCAGCTGTTGGCTCAAGCACTGTGTCAGCAACAACCCCCTCCTCGCCCCTAACCGCGCTAAGCGATGCACGGACCGGGCCACGTAGCACCACCGCCTCCGAGCTGGTTGGTCTCATGGCGCCGAGTCCTGGTGGAGCTCATGACCATGCTCCCCCGCTTCGTGCAGATGGCCCGACGATGCCACCGGCTGAACATAGGCCCCATCCGGTACCTGGTGGCGTCAGCCACTCCGGTGGAGGTCACACAAGACAACTGCACGCACCCACACACGCACATAAAGCGGCACGGGAACGCAACCGGCAGGTACGCAGAGTGCCGCTAGTGCGGAGTCCGCTGGAAGTGGGACGACGCCCGAGATGGCTGGGCATTGTGTCCACGATCGTCTGGGCGTTCTACGTTGCCCTTACCTACGGCAGCAACTACCTTGGAACCGACGGGTTCGACGGGAACCAGTTCCAAGGCCAAGGCCAAGAGTACCCTTTCTACCAGGAGGCAGGATACACAGAGGTTCCGCCCCCAGACCCGACGCGTTCCCGAGGAGTTCGACCTGGCGAGCCAGGCGAGCGGACAGACTGGGATGAGCTACGACCTGTCCCCTCCCGGGAGCGACGGGGAGTTCTACGATTGGGACCTGGCCCAGAGCTGAAGAAAGGCCAGATGAAACAACTGGCGTCGCAAGCCAGGAAGGCGCACCGGGCCCTGACCCTGGAGCAAGCGACTCTTCAGCGAGAACTCATCCGAGCTGCCGATGTCCGAAGGAGAGTTGTATATGGGCGCGACCTCCTTCAAATAACGACATGTGAGAGTGGGCAAAACATGAAGGCCATGGGGCTCAACACGGTGGAGCCCTCGTGGGACATCGGAGTTCCCAAGGGTCGAAAGGCCCTCACCGAAGCCTTCGACTACCACAGGCCCCTGGTTGCTGCGGCTAGGCTGACCTCAAGCACAGCCCACACGCGACCAGAGACTGTAGAGGCAGTCCTCAAGCTGCTCAAGAAACAGCAGCGAAGAGGGTACTATTGGACTCTCATCGCTCCCAGGGACCACCCTGTGTGGAGCATCAAGGGGATGGGTCAGCATCTCGAACAAAGTCACGCTCATGTTGCTGAGGCCGACGAAAGGATAGCCTCAAACCATGAGTGGTTGGCTCGCCCAAACCCCGATGCCACCCCTGCAGGACTGGCCGAAAGAGTCCGCAGGGTCGTGAGGGAGATAGAACCTACAAGGTTCCACCAAGAAAAGGACGAGCTACCCCTCACTCCAGCTTGTGGTATGTGGGACAGAGTGTCAACCAAGCCCCCGTTCCACGAAACTTACTACCTGGACTACCAACAAGACGAGCGCGAGTGGCGGACCGTCATGGGTCAAGTGGAACAGGTGTTCCGGACAAGTGCTACGCTGCAGATCACCCTGATTCCCGACCATGACATACGAAGACGAGTGGAAGAGCTGTTCCCATGGGACGTGGGAAGAGTGCAATTGGCCAAGTCACCAAAGGCCAGGAGGTTTCCTCGAGACATCCCATTCACACATAGAGGCACAATCCTCTTGTACAACGATGACGAGTTGGTGTGTGAATCCGAAGATGTGGCCAACATTGCATTCCCACGTCAAAGGTTCGCTAAGCCTGTAAGGTACGCCATCTGCGTCTATGGCAACGCGCCCGAGGACCCGAGTGATGTGCCGGCGCCCCCGGCAGCCACCGGTCCACCGGTAGCGGACCCCGAAGTCCCGCCGGAGGAAGTCCACGGCGCGGACGTGACCTTCCCAGGCTGTCAAGCGCCACGTGAAATCAAACGAGCCGTGGCTCGACTTCACGTGAACTTAGGACATCCGTCAGCTGCCGACACCGTGCGCATGCTGGCCCAGAGCGGCTCCGTGACGCCAGAAGCGATCTCGGCCGCTAAGGCACTTTCTTGCGCCTCTTGTCTGCGCTTGAAAGGGAACACCCCGGCACGGCCCTCCCGACTGACAGATCGGTTCGTCGGACAGCTGGGCGACAGCATGCAAATGGATATCTTCTATTCGCGAACGGTTGACGGAACGAACTATCCACTACTTGGAATGGTAGACGAGGCTACCAACCTTCAGCAGGTGTGCGTCCTAAAGGACCGCAACCCGAAAACCATTATCGAGGCGTTCCGCACGACCTGGGTACGCCCGTTTGGTTTTCCCCACAAAATCACCCTGGACCAAGACGGTGCGTTCATGGGAGATTTCTGGACCTACCTCATCGACAACTCCACGGAAGTGGACTACATTCCTCCCGAAGCCCACCACCGGCTAGGCAAAGCCGAGAGGTGCAATGCGGTCTACCGCGAGGTACTCAACCGTGTGGTCGACAGCATGGCCGCTGCCACCCGCGAGGACTTGGAAAAGGCCGTGGACGCAACTACCCACGCCATTAACACCATGCCCCGCACACGAGGACTGTCGGCCTATGCCATAGTCTTCGGCCGCATTCCCAGGGTGCCCGGCGAGCTCTTAACGGACGATGCGTCCCTGGCGGCCCACATCCCCCTGGAGGAGCACAACCGCCACACCATCGTTTACAGAGCCGAAGCACAGAAGGCAGCGGCGCAAGTCAACGTGGACCAACACGTGAGGCGCGCCCTCCTTCGGAAAACCGCGCGTATGAGAGTTGACGACATCACACCTGGTGCTAAGTGCGCCGTGTGGAGGTCCCAGCTCCGTGGCAAAGGCCCCCGAAAGCGAGGCGGCTACATCATAGGACGACTAGTCACTTTTGATGGCCACTGCACGTGGGTGCAACTTGGTACCCAGACCGTCAAAGTCGACCGCAACCAGCTCAGACCGGCTTATGGCTTCGAAGCATGGTCCCCGACCGACGAAGACATCCGTGCCCTCAAGGACGCTGAAAGAAACTTCCTGAGCGGACAAGTCGAGGACTATCAGAACGAAGGCCCGCCGGAAGATGAACCGCTTGTTCCGGAACTCGAGTTTCCAACAAGCCCCGGTTCACCGGAGCAGTTTTCCGCGTTGGACGCTCCACCAGCCTCGGTGCCTGGTATACCGGTTCCGCCGGAAAAGGTAAGGAGAACAAGTGCCTCGTCAGACGCACCTCCACTTCCACCTCCAGCGGAGCCGCCACCGCAGGCCATGGACACCGACACGGCAAGCCAAGGGACAAAGCGAACCGCGGAGGCACAGTCTGGAAGAACAACGCCCTCCAAACGAAGTGCCCGACCAAGCTTCTCCTCGAACCTGGTCTGTGAGCACGACGAAATCTTCCTGCGACCTCCTGGCTGGGACGGCTCAGACTGGCAGCCCGACCACCCGGAGAGACTCTCCGCACTGCCGCAGGTGTTCGCCTCCGAGCACGCCGCGCCGGCAATACCATGCCCCGTCGAAGAGGGCATCGAGGATTGCCACTCCTCTTGGCAAGTTTGCTACGTCGGAGACCAAAGAAAGCTAGCCAACGTCGAGAAGCTCACCCGGAAGGAACTCAAGGCGCTGAACAGGGAAGTGCCGTGGCGCGACATAGTCCGGCAAGGAGGAATCGTGTTCGACAAGTACGTCGAGTCAGCTCGACGCGAGCACGAACAGTGGGAGTCTTGGGCCCCCATCCGTCCCTTGTCCGACGAGGAGGCGACCGCTGTTATGCGCGACCCCTTGTTGAGAACCCGGATCTTGAAGTCTCGCGCGTGCTACCGCGACAAAGCTCAGGGTCAAGGCGACCTCCAGGCTAAAACGCGGGTAGTAGTACTCGGACACCGCGATCCGGACTTGCACCACATCTCCAGAGATGCGCCGACTCCTACGCGGCTGACAGAAAGCATTCTGCTTTCGGTGTACATCTCAGGTCGAAACCGGAAGTTCCTAAAGAACGGACGCCGGTGGAAGTTGTGGTGTGCCGACGCCACAACGGCATTCCTCCAAGGTTCCCAAGATGAAGGGGAGCGCCCGCACAAGCTCTACATGATGAGCCCTCGCGACCCCATCCTGGCAAAAGCAGGTGCCTTTCCTGCAACCTTGTATGAGGTAACGGGCTCAGTCTACGGCTTGGCAAATGCCCCTCGACTATGGAGCCTCGAGGTGGGTAAGCGCCTCCTAAACGCCGGCTTCAGGCCGCACGCCCTTGATCGCATGTGCTTCCTGCACTACGACCCCCAAGGCTGCCTTGACTGCATAGCCCTGGTATACGTGGACGACTTCCTAGTCACTTACGCTGACACCTTCAAGCTGGACGTCCTCACCAGCTTGTTTCGCTGGGGACGCACCTCCTCCGATGAAGATGTCATCACCTTTAAGGGCAAGCAGCTCCGGACGGTCAAGGAAAACGGCGTGTATGTCTTGCGGGTCACACAGACGGAGTACATTCGCTCCCTGATTCCCGGCAAGATTACGCGGCAAAGGAGCCGTGAGAACCCCAAGCTCACGGAGTCTGAGCTTTCCGAATTCCGCTCTTGCTGCGGAGCACTACAGTGGCTGGTTGGACAGACCAGACCCGATGGAGCCGCCTGCGTGTCCTTGACGAACCGGCAACGACTCCAGCCTGGCAGAGTTGAAGCAGCTCTATGGCTTGATGGAGTACTTCAAACGTACCGACGTCGACGGCCTCACCTTCCACGGCATTCCGCTCAACGAGGAGACGGTCATAGCCACATATGGCGACTGCTCATGGGCAAATGCCGCAGACTATAAGTCTCAAGAAGGCTTGATCGTGTGCCTCACGACGCCCGAGGCTTTAAGTGGGAGCGCGCCGGCCGTACTCCTCGACTGGAAAAGTACCCGTACTCCACGCGTGGTACGATCGACGTTAGCGGGAGAGGCTTACGCAGCCGACGACGCTATCGATCGAGGCGTTCTGGCAAACCAGATGTTTTCAGAGATTATTTTCGGGTGTGAAGCAAACCCCGTCAATAACCTAAAGACACTTCGCCACTGTCACGCCACGGACTGCAAGTCGCTGTATGACGCAGCCATAGCAGCCAACTTCAACACCGAAGAGAAGCGGGTCGGCTTGACAATCCGCGCTATCCAGGAGACCATCGCTCCGCAAGATATGCGCTGGGTTCCCACTACCGCAATGTGGGCCGACGGCCTTACGAAGATCTCAGACAGTCTGAGGGCCACGTTCCTCGACTGGCTCCGCAACCCCAGGGTGCAGCTGAGGTCCGAGGTCTGACCTTCTCTTCCGTGCCGTAGTGCGTAGCCCACAACGAGCTACCCGGCAGCAAAACACGACAGAAGGTGGCTACTACGACCCCTACCTGTCTTTCCGACCTGGAAGCAGCTACGGTTCATTCCGGCTGACTTCACTCCATATGGTGGAAGCCGCCAAAGTCTAAGACTTTATGGGCTGGCTTGGGGAAGCAATGCTGACCCATACGAGTGCATGCCCTGCACGGCTTTTGGCCCAACAAAAAGTTGGGAGTGTCAGTGCAGTCATGTTTTCATGGGTTCTTTGTACAGTGTGTCCTACCCGTGGAACCTTTGGCCCAAAACCGACAGGGCCCTTGAGTCGCTAGCAGCGCCTGCCATAAAAGCTGCGTTGCTGCTGTTTACCAACACAAGGTACGCCTTCGAGACGTACCCGTTGCGTCATTGTCTTCGAAGTACCGTGAAAGAAGTATTTGTTTATCATCGCTCTTGGCTTGCCCGATAGCGCACTCCATCAAGATCTGCTAAATATTTCTCTATCATCGCTGTTGGCTTGCCCGATAGCAGCACTCTATCAAGATTTGCTTTCACGAACTGGTGCAGCATTTTGGTGTAAAGCATTGGCCTATGCAGCATGTGTGCAGCCTGCCGTGCTGGTGCAGCACTCCTTGCGGTCATCCACCTTCTCCTAGCATTCGTAGTGAAGCAAGTACCTCCGCACACCGGAAACGTGTTCACGTAACATTCCGTTCATCCAGTGTTTCCCATTGCGTGAATGTGTGTCAGTGTGTGTAAGTGTGTGTGTGTGTGTGTGTGTGTGTGTGTGTGTGTGTGTGTGTGTGTGTGTGTTTCTATGGGCATGGGCTTATGGACCGGCAACAGAGGTACGGGCCAGAAAGTGCTGCAAAAGGACGCGTGGCACTTGAGCCGATCGCCCCTTCGCTTTGCACCGTCAACGACTTTTCAAAGGTCCATGCTGCTGAAGGAGAGCTCTTGGAGGACGCTTTTCATTGCTTTACCAGCGTTCCACTCTTTCAGAGAAGTGGTTTTGAGGACATCCAGAAACGATTGTATCCCAAGGACAGAGCCACCGGGACCTCAAAGCCCTTACTGCTTGCTGTTTGTTCTGTTTCCTGGTGAAGGACAAGCAAGATGAGCTTCCTTGCGCACTCCTTCCTTGCACCGTGGCATCAATAGCTGAAACGTCAAAACTGGCAGCGTCGGCTATGTGTGTCTGATATTCGATTCGACAAGCTGATCTGTCATTGTCGTGAGTAGCATCCGAGTACTTGTTTCTGTTGATGCCGCGGGTCTCTGGGAGAGCCGCTCGAAATGCTTTGATTCTTTCAAGTGATTGTCAGACGGACATTTCCCATCTGACCAAGATCATGTGAAAACCGCAAGGCCTAGAAGGCAGGTGCTATGCCTGTGTGCGTGATGTCATGGCATGTTGTAGTGCACTCCGCCATACTCCACCAAAATCCGCTGTTGTCGGATTCGGTTACAGGAACTTCAAACATGCCAAGAGTTATGCTCCACTTGGATGAACCGAGGCAGCACCTGCATTGAGATCTTTGAGGGCAGACTGTTCATGCAGTGGCTAGACGACAGGTTTGGATCTCAGGGGGTTTTCTCCTCGCTCTCGCCAAGACTTCAAGATGTTTTTTCTTTTGCAAGAGTCCTTGCAGCCTGAGGGCAAATTGTGAAAGACCTGTTGCCTTGAGTCCGCAAATCGCCGTGGCCTTGGTAGAGCCGGGTGTCCCGCATGATTCCCTGCCGTAAGACTTCAGCGTGACACGAAGCGTCATTGGGCTCAAGGCAATATCCTTTGAAGCTGACGAGCCGCCACCTGCGTACATTCGGAAGGCTGACATATCGGGATGTGTTTCGCGATGCTTCGCGTGAATGCTCCATGTTAGTAGCCATGCTCCTTCTCATCTTGCCCAAAGAAGAAACGTCTGCGCAGGCAGGCAAGTGGTCCTTGGCCCAGGGGGTCGGCCCCAAGGATGCCTGATCTGTACACATCTGTACACATCCGTATACATCTGTACACATCTGTACACATCTGTACACATCTGTACACATCTGTACACATCTGTACACATCTGTACACATCTGTACCGTAGCAAATTGGCAAGATTCTTCACCTGCTCGATGGTGGAACTGTGGACAGCCGTGGAAACTGGTGGGCAGGACTTGGAAGTGAAGCTTCCCTTTCAGCTGCCTGCCGGACAGTTCAAGATGCTGATCTGAGCTCAGCGGCTTCGTGCTCTCATGTGCTGCATTTCACGGTTTCAGAGTTCTCTTACATTCGCATGATCTTCCACGCTGGCGTCCTTGTACTCCATGTACTCCATGTACCATCTTTTATCTTTCGTTCCGCTCCTTCAGGCTTCCTCCTGTCATACCGGCTTTGAGACCACCCTGTTGGCAAAAGAAGGGTCATGCTGGCTACCGTTGCTGTCATGTATTCCTGAAAATCAGGCTGTGCCCACAGCCGCCTGGCGTGGGTCATGCTTGAACTGCAATGTGTGGTGCTTGAAGGTGCAGATGAGCAGGACGATCCAGGAACCTGGGAGGCTGGTCGATTCCCGTGGCAGATCAACATACAGGAGCACATGCACGTCCGCGTGGAAAGGAAAGACAGTATTTGATCGAGCGCTTCACGCTCCTCGCAAGCTGGCAGAATGAGAGCACAGCGGGTAGCGCAGATGCGGCAGTGACTGAGTGCCCTCACCAAGTTGACTCCTGAAGTCGTCGCCAGGTAAATGCCAGCTCACAGGCCCTTTCACAGGCTCTTTCAAGCTCCGTTCGGCTTTTTCTATCATTTTTCCTCATGCTTCATGTGGGTTCTCTTCTGAGACAGGCCAAGAGGAATGCTTCCAAAGCACCGTCCCGTGCTCCACCAGTTGGCCAGGCTAGACCCAGGATGACCCAGGTATCATGAAGACTCCTGCGATGATCTGTGATGTTCACGGTGGCAGGCGCTGCCTTTCATTTCAATAATGCTTGCGGCTGCGGAGGAGGCCAAAGATCTGCTGTGGTGGCAGCACGCACAGAATGTAAGTGTCAGGCGGCCGAAACTGCAAAGTGCCGTATGGCAAAGGGTCTCAAAGGCCCTTCTGCCTGCGATGCCTCTGGGGTTAGTTGTGCCATGTTGTGCCTTGGTTCCGACTCTGCCAGTGCTCTGATGTTCATGCCCAGCTATTCGGTGAAGTGACGCCTCTTTGTGGCTCAAGATAGTGGGAGAGTTACGTTACAAGTCGGCGGCTGGGTGGACGCCTTTCGGCCCTCGAGCATGGCTTGTATGCAGGCTGGCATGGCTGCGGCCCCATGGATGGATCCTTCAATGCAGATGGCTGCTGGCCCGTCACCACATCCCGCTCCGGTTGCACCTGCAGGCATTGGCATAGTGTGGGCTTTCTTCATGGAAGTTGTACAGGCTTGAAATGAATGCAGCATCCTGCAGTTGTACAAGTTGTACAGGCCCCAGCCAACCGCTTACGATGGTTGCTCCAGCCAATGCGTTCTCGGGAGAAGCTGGCCGTTATCCGTACCAACCCTAGCGTTGTTGGGGAATTCCGGCAAGTTCGGGTTCTTTTGTTGTTTAAGGCTTCGCTTGCTTGTTGCTGAGGTGGTATCGTGTGGCCTTTGCGGGTGGGGTTGATCTTCGTCATGGACCAAGTGTGGAAGCACCTCGCACTGGAGAAACGCTGCTTGGCAGATTCACAGGTGTTCAATGATGTTCGTAATGAAGGCCATGAAGGATATGTGACGCCAGGCTCTGCCAGAACGCCACGCTTGCAGTTGCAGAAGAAATTCTTGGGGCTGATGGGCGCGTCTATCTTCGCCTTGCAGATGGAAGGGGCTGGGCCTTTGATGACTCGGCTCTCTTTCCTCATGACCCTTCGGTGGTGTGGCTTGGCATGGCTAACATTGGCTAACTAGCTAGCTAGCTGAAGCTCCTGACGCTCAGATTGCATGATTGCAGCGGCAGTGTTGTGACTTTGTTCCGGTTCCAGGCGTGGCTATTGGCAACCTGTGTCTGTGGTTCCACCTGGGGCAAATGCAGCAGCTGTCGCTGCGGCTGTGGCAAATGCCGGCACTGCTGGTACAGCAGCAGCTGCCATGCCAGGTGCGGAGGCACCAGCAGGCAATATGATGGGAGGCAAGCCCATGGAGTATGGAGCCATGGGCAACCCTCAAGGAAGAGGTGGCGTGAACCCCTGGATTCTGAATTAGGCAGATTAGATACCCACATGTGGTATAAGGACGCTTTGCCCTTTCAAAGACTTTCAAGTCATGGCACTGACAAGAGCAGCAACGCTTGGTCAGCCCGTACATATGTCGTGCCACTCCATTGCGCTGCAGCTGTAGATTATCAATAGGCAAACGTGTAGCTGTGACACAGGCTTGTCCCCGCACTGTAACAGATCGCTTGTGCATGCTGCAACCCCTAGAAAACAGAACGTTGCACGCTCAAGCCGCAGCTGGACCGCAAAACGTAGCCCATGATGTGGGAGGCTTCTGACGGCATTGACATTGACGAAGCATGCAATGCTCTTGCCAGGAGCAAATGGTGCTCGGTATGTCAAGATTCCACTGCTCGCCATGGCTCAGGCATGTCAGGGAATTTGCTTCACTTGCATCACGACAGCCGCCTCGTGCATCTGCAGGTGATCAGTCCTCTGGTGGAGTCTGAGTTGGCTGGTCTGGAAGTCGCGTGATGTGGGAAGTGCCCGAGCTCCTGGGGCCAACTTCACCTGCTGAGACGGACCAAGCATTCTTGAGATTGAGGGCTAGCAGTCGCCAACCTTTCAATCCTCGTGGATGCAGTGGGTTTGCTCAAGAGCATGCCGAAACAAGCAGCTTTCAATGCACACAACATTTGAACCGTGCCCAGGCCTGAACGCCTTGCTAAATCGGCTAAGTGTCTACCCACATGCCACGAAGTTACTTGAAGACAAGCAGTATCCGTACCATCACCAGCCAGCTTGTCCAGAGAATGCACGGCAGCTGATGCTCAGCAAGCAAGGCCATGTGGCGGCCGCCGGGTCCTTGGCCCCCTAACTCAGAAGGTTCTCGGGAATGGACTCACAATGCATCCGAGGTCATTTTCAAGGGACTATGACTCGACTCCCGTTGAACAGGCTTCTGCATCAGTAGCCTGTTGCTTAGAATCACTAAGTTGTGCACAGGCCCATCCTTGCCCATCTTGGTCACATTTATGTTCAAAACATCGCAGCATCAAAGAGCAGCTCAGCACTGACTCGACAAGGTCATGGAGCCAAAGTGTGATGCAAATCTTAGCAGCTGGGAGTTCAAGGCTTGCCAGCTGCTGTCACGACAGGCCAGAGGATGTTGGTATTCGCACTTGCCGTGCCGCATTCTGTAGCGATGAGCCTTTCAATTCAGGCTTTCGGCTACTGGAAAGTTGAAATCCTGGTAAACGCGCTGTCTGCCATGAAGGCGCGGTAGCGCAGACGCACTGGACTCCAATCATGCTTAGTGGCCCAGGCTCCTGTCGATCTAGTTTGCGTTCGGTGCCCTTCAGACGTTCGGCACCGGGCAGGCTACTCTCCCAGGCCGTATGCTGAAAGAGCCAGCTGTGAAGTGCAGACGGAGACGCTTATGCAGGCACAACCGAATTTGGATGTGCGCAAACCGCTTTTGGAATCCCTTCGAGTTCAGAAGAGGCGGACCGGCAGGGCTTTTCGAAGGAACATGTTGAAGTCCGCATCCGCTTTGCCAGTCCTTGTTCACGAACTGACGCATGCGTTCGACTTTGCCCGTGCCAAGGCTGGAATGCTCATGTCTGGTGCAAGACCACGGTGATGTGTTTTTGTGCACCTCCAAGGTTGACCCTGGCAGCTGTGTCCACATGGCAGCAACCACAGCACAAGTCAATGGCAGTCGATATAAGTCAACAAAGTGCATCCAGGCAGTGCATCTAATTATCCAATTGTGACCGAAAGGCTTGTACGGAAATCCGTGCCTGGAACCTAAGTGGTGTCTGGGGCCCTACACTGCTGCAACTTCACGAGCATCTTGCTCGGGCTGCCTCTCAAGACATTGAAAGGAGTGCGACTTGTGGACCAACTCCTTCAAATACCTGGGGGAGGTTCGGAAACACCGGAAACATCAAGCGCCACGTGCTCGTAGCAGTCGAGTCGATTAGCACAGTTTTTGTGAGTCTTGTGTGCAGGACATGATCAATCGAAAGCAACAATGTGTACGCGATGGCGCCCTAGCATCGCTGCTCGAAAACGAGCGCTGCCAGGCTCTGCCGTAACAGAGAAATTGGAACATCGTTAGAATACTCCGACCGCCGTGCTATGCACTAGAGTACAGCGATCTGCAGGACAGGGCGCTGGCGCGGGCGGCTCTTCACGAGGTGAAACAACGATGCCTTATATACGTGTATATGTATGTATATATCTAGGCCATTATGTTCAGTTCTGCATGATATGTGCATGTGCTATCTTTTGGTGTGCTCGTGTCAGGCCTGGGACCAGTGCTGGAAAGACTACTGGCCCTTTACCACGCAGCCCGTGTGGTTCCTGATCAGTGCTGGGGGGAATTAAAGAAGGTCAGTACCTGCCATTAGAAGAAAGAGGGCGTAAGGTGTCACCAATTGGCGTCAGATTTTGTAGTCATGCTTTCGGTGCAGCAGGTTTTGGTAAACATGAATCAATGACCCTTGTCGTGACACAGTCTCGCTCACGGAACAAGGCCTTGTTTGCTTCGGGCTTCAAGTGCACCAAGCACGCCGTAGAGAGTCAGCCTCGCCAGCGCACCGTACTTCGTCCAGCCATGCGGCGTCCAAAGTGTGTCCGCAAACAGGCTCTGCTGGTACTTTTGCTAGTTCATGGTGCAAGCGGCTATTGTGGACGGGAGACTTGGATATTCTTGGCCGACGGTTCAGCTCGGCGCCGTCGTAGACCTAATATGCCCAAGTTCCATTTTTTAGGTAAACGAAGGTTTTTCCGCCGAAGAGTTCTCTGAGCACATGCCCGAGTGAACAGAGGCAGTCACTCAGGCATTCACGCAGCATTTGTGGCACATAATTATTTGCACGAGTACGCACACGTAAAGAGGCAGGGATGTCGGCCACACTGTGGTGTTCAGGCTGCACATCTCGTGGTGCAGCGCACGCCTAGTGCCGGTTTTGGCACCACACAATACTGCGGTTGACCTTCTGTCTTTGACCACTGCCTGTGTGCGCCTGTGCATTGTGGAGCCCGTGCAAAAACACCAGGAATGCTGTGGCCTTGTAGTGCTGTAAGGCTGGTAGGGGGATATGGGGCGGGGGGGGGGGGGGGGCGGCATGCTTGAGGGTCTAGGCTCGATGCTTGGTATCAAGTCTTCATCGCGCCAAGGACCCGATCGCTCTGCCTCCAACGGTGGAAATGGCTAAGCAGTTCTGGTCTTTCTTATCCACCTATTCAATGGACAAGTTCAAGTTTGCCATGCAAGAAGGCCATTTCTGCACCCTCATAGCATCAGTGTCCCACCATCCTTGACTAGAGTCGGATCATGGCGTGCGTGCTTTGCTTTCCTCCCCTGAAGGCGCCTGTCATGTGGAAACAGGAGCTCCTAAATGCTTGGGGACCGCAGTCACAGCTGTCGAATGTGCAGCTGAATGCCTCTCTGCTGCATGTTTGTTCGAGATGTCAGAGGCTGTGCAGGGCGTTTTTTGTGGACGAATTTAGGTGAGAAGAGTGGAGACTGCATCGCCTTTGATCGACCCAATGTTTACGGCAAATCTGGCTGTTGTTTATTTCCTGGTGGCAGCGCGGTTTCTGTGAAAGGGGGCAAGGACAAGGTCTGTTTCGTCTTGCAGTCTCCAGGAGAAGTTCGGGCGAAGGGAATTGGACACTTTGGTGAAGTTTGGAGGGTGCCTTCGTTCTTCAGCACAGTAGAGCTGTCCACCGCTGAAGATGGGCCACAAGCAAAGGCAGTCATGGACCTATGCTTGCCATGGTCTCACTGCAGTTTCCGAATCTATTCCTGTAGAGGTGAGCCGCTTTATGCCTTACACGCTCGGATGATGCAGAGCTTATCAGACCCGCTGCTCAGCATTTGGGCGTACGAGGTGCGAAATGGCACCGGGGACTATCTTGGGCGAACATCTGAGCTACAAAGCGGTTATCATCCAATCGAGATTTATGATGCGCACAACCGAAACGTGGTAACACTTGCTACGGTTTGGACCTCGTGGTCGGCCATGTTCTCTGGCACCTGGTACATCAACAATCAGTTTCCAGGCGAGCCCATTGAGAAGAATCCCATGTCCGATGCGCGCTTGGTGACGCTCATTGCCGCGCACCAATTTGCATCACAAGGATGGTTCGGTCCCTTCTGGTCAGTGGTGATCTTGGTGCTTCTACTCTGCGCCCTGTACCTTGGCATCCGGCGGTGCAGTGCCTCGGACAGCTCGATGTCCAAGCTTCTGTTGGGCGCCAAGGAGGAGTCCTCCTCCGAGGAGGAGCAGGCCGGTTGTCTCGGCAGTCCTCCTCCAAAGCGAGAAGTTCCGATGGTAGACCCAGTCGAGTATCCAAAACAGTGGCAATCAGCCTGTTAGCCTTCTGGAAATCCGAGGAGGGCGCTGGACCATTGCCAAACTCACGAAGCAGTTTGGGGTTTGTGTGCTTCATTGTGCCTCCCTATTTGTCTGTTTCACCTCCCTGCTGGCTAAGCCGCTGTAGATGACCGTTTCCTGCGTGGTGTATGCACACAGGAAAATGCAGCCAGCTTCATATCCCGACATGTGTCTGCTGCCCAACAACATGCTTTCACAGACGTCCTTGCAGAGCACCCTTCCCACTTGATGCCCATGTCTCCCAGAAGATCGCGCAGCCCTAAGGACCTGGATACACGCTGGCGGCAGTCTCCCATGCTTCGCTAGATACACCTCCAGTGCACTCGCTTAGGAAATCAAGTCGGCTCCAGTTGGTGCATTCGCTTCTTGTTGGACATTGTCTCGTGCAAAGTTGCAGATCCGGCCCATCTGAGCTTGCCTTTGCGTGCTGATGCCTTGGCTCAGAACAGGCCCTTCCCCATGTCCTCTGACCATCACGCATCATTGAATTTGGACTCGGCAGCCTCCAAAGATGGTGACTCCTGTGCAGACGTGGGAGCCTCAGCCATGCGACAGCTTGACGGGGCGGCGGAATGTGCCTTTCAGGTGGGGTGCTTTGGGAAATATGGTGCCTGAGCAGAAAGAGTTCGGAGCCGAAGACTCAGAGATCGCATAAGCGAGCCTCTCAAAGTTTTTGCCCTCGGGCTTGTTGCACTTAGGCAGAGACGAATGCCTACCTGGAGTCATACGAGGACCTGTAGCACAAGCCAGACTCAAGATCTAGATGTTGACCGGCAGTGGCTTCTTCTACAAGCTTGACAGTTTGTTCCGCAGGTCTACGATCTTTTCGCACATCTTCTTCGACAGGCGCTGTGTGTCCGGTGATTCTTAGCAGCTGAAAAGAGAGCCTTAAAGTACATTTTGTTGCAGGTATTGGTGGAGAGGCCGGAGAATCCCATCAAGTTTCTGCAGGCACTCGAGATTCGGTAAATTTGAAGACTTTGACAGTTGATATCTGCGCAATTTTGCAGGAGTGTCTCAAAGAGCAGTCCAAGCTGTGCGTTTGTGTGATGGGGCCGCCGGGAGTGAACCGCTCCAAGTACTGCCAACAGCTGGCTACAGCTCCTCTCTCAGCCACGCTTCGCTTTAGGAATGGGTCCTCAGTGGAGAAGGGCTGATTGCTGAGGACTACAAGGTCAAGCACATTCATGTTGGCAAGCTGTTGAGGCAGGACCAGTTACGACCCATCTTCCGACTTTCTGCGGTTTGGTTGCTGCATGATCTGCATGTTTCGAGCCGCTTACAGGGCCAAAAAAGAGTTAAAAGACGTCATGGATTCGGGCGAGCTGGTTTCAGACGACACAGTTGTGGACATCGTAAAGGAGCTTTGCTTTCTTTGCTTTAGCCCTGAGATGGCACTGGACTGGACTGATCGCGGAACAAGTGCTGCTGACAAGGAAGAGCTTAGAAAAGCCAAGCATACTGGTTGGGCCAAGCTCTCGGTGATGGTCAATTTCAGAAGGGCTTTGCTTCTTCTTCCCCTCGTTTTCGCAACAGCGCACCCACGTTGGCTCATGGGCCCGCAGGTCTTGGATGGCTTTCCCAGGACGAAGGTGCAGGCCCAGTCCCTGGCGGCTGCGAGCAAGGCAGCGTTCTTTTGATCGTCTCTTGATCCGCTATTCCCCTTTGGGCAATTGCAACACGGGCTGGTACCTCTCAGCGCATGCAAAAGCTCAAGCTGTAGCCGCATGGCTCTCAGCCTCTCTCAACCCTGGAGGAGCTAGGAACCAGCTTGGACAGTGTGCTGCTCCTCGACAGCAGCGAGGAGACTGCCCTGAGAGAATGTGTGTGGGTGGACTGCTGCGAAAGATTCCTCATTGGCAGGACCTTGCGAGGCAAAACTTTGCTGCCAAGGTGCAGTCGAGCCAGCACAATCAATGTCAATGTGTGCAGAATTGGAATGAGCACAGAAAATGCAGGGTTCTTGCTCCCTCCTTCAGCCCTTCAGCTTCAAGTAGAGCAGGTCGACGTGCCAGATCCCGCAGTGAAGAGAGAAGTGGCCGAGATGCGGCTTCAGCAGTGCGCGATGCGTCGGGTCAACTGCAGTAAAGCTGTTTGTTTTGGTAGTCGTGCTATGCTCTCCCGGAGGATGATACCTGCATGCTGCTTGAGGTACAAGCGCCACGTACTCACCATCAGCGAGTTTTTCAAAAACTCCGCCGCGCTCTTGGTTCGAGTCCGGGAAGGTCATCAATGGGCAAGGAAGGTTGTGTTGCCGGTTGCGTCAGGTGCGCCGCATTGAGATCAACGGAGGCCTTGCCTCGTTGACATGATCGAAGCCAGCTTTCAGCACGAGTTGCTTGCCTGGCCCGAGGAGAGGATGAGCAGAAGAGCATCTATGCCACGATCAGTAGCAACGTGCAATACAGAGTGCCGATGTCTCAGACTCCATCCTTGTGCTATGAGAGTAAAGCCAGCCTGACAGCAGAAGGTATTCCAACGCCCCTCTTCGGATGCAGCGAGTGTGTATTCTGGGGCCGTGCGGCTCTGGAAGGATGGACTTGAATTTTATACTGAAATCTTGTCTCCTTCTTCAAAACGCATGTGTGCAGGACTACGCAGTGCCAGCTGCTGGCTAAGCGACTGGGTGTGGTTCATGTAGCAAGAGCCTAAGATCAAAGGACTCAGCTCCAAATACTGAGCTTTGCATAGCTATGCACTACTTCTCATCTGGCTTCAGGATTTGGCAGTGCTCCTCCGCGAGAAGCAGGAGGTGCATGCCCACCGGAGCATTGATATTAACATATAAATATTTTAACGCTATACGACCCGCCTCCGCCGAGGGGCTGCAGTCCCCCGGCACGAAGCCCTGCAGTGTGTGTTTGTGGGCAAGTTGAGGGAGGGGATGGAAAACCACACGCTCTCGAGGTAAGCAGGGGGAGGGCCAGGTGACGAATAGGGTAAAACAAAAGTGGCGGGGAGGGGGTAGGCAAGAAGGAAGTCAAGGAGGTCGATAGGACGGCCAGAGGGAGGGGAAGAGAACAAGGCAGTGGGGTAGGGGTGGGGGTTGCCGAGGCAGGGGACAGACGGTGGCACTGGCAAGGATTAAGTTAAATGCTCCTGTGGCCTGAGGCCTCGGCGGATTGAACGCCATAAAAGTAAGGTACCTCCCACAAGGGTCACAAACCGGGCTTCCGATTGCTTGAGGCTGAGGGCCAAGAGGTGGACGAAGTGCCGCCCGATTACCTCAGCGACGAGGAAGCGTGTGCTTTGATTGCAGCGCCAGCGCCCCAGCGTTACATGTGTTCGCATCTCTTCCGTTTGCGCTTTCCGCATTGGTTGAAGGCGCTTGCGCAAGACAGATTGCGTGCGGAAGGGCTGGGTTTGCATCTCAGTTCTGCTCAGTTCTGCCTCCGACTTCAGCAATTGCTTTTTTTCTTCATCGCTGCACGACCTGGCCCGCCTCGGCCATTGGCCCTGGATGCACAGGGATTCGATGGGATTTTGGTTGCAGGGTCCTGGCACCATGCTCGTCGCGGGATGGTGGTGGGCGGTGCTCGACATTCCGCTTCGGGGAGTCTTAGGGACGAGTGCTGGAAGTTCCACAAACCTCGTTACCGCTTCACCCGCCCTTGGCCAGGATGAGCACTGCACCCACGAGATCTCCTGTAATTTGGTTTAGGGCTAGGTTTTGGAATGGGTGGGCTTCCGACCCCACGCAAACTGAGGCTGAAGCAGCCTGATATAATGTTCTCCTTTGCACGCTGGGACTCCATGTCTTGAATGCTAACCACCGGACGAGCGCTAAAGGGTCCCTCAAGCCCAAACAGTCGCAACTGCCACAACTCCTTAAATACGGATGACCTGCCATGAAGCAGGACCGAGTCTCAGTCTGAGCTTGAGCGCGCAGTAGCACAAACTCTCAACCCCAAAGCCCAATTTGCAGGGCAAGAGCCTCAACGCGACTCACAAAACCATGCAAGTTGCAGACCAAGCATTGTATTCTTTGGAGTCTCACCACTCGGGCAGCTACGCGAAGATTATGAGGACGAACCGCCCCTTTGGATTTAATCCACTTCTGGGTCTCAGCGCTTTCCATTGCGCGAATGCGTCGCTTCCATGCGAATCCCCCATGAGCGACTGTGCTGTCCAGCGAGTCGGCCGCTCGGTGCATGAATCCCAGGTTTTTCAAATTTTCGAATCGGTTTCTCGCGTCCGCGAATATGCTACCAACTGCTTTGAACTACTCTGGCGGCTCTGGCGCACTACGAATGTTTAAAGCCTCCACATAGAGGGACTCAAAGGTGCTGTTCTTTGAACACTGTTGAGTCATGCAAAGTCGTCTTGACAACATGTTTTAGGCTGTTCACATTCGGAAGCTCGAGGTGCTGGATGGGTTTCCGAAGACACGTGCGCAAGCGGAGTTTCTGAGGCATGACTCCTATTCTGCCATGTTGACAATTTCAAAGCATTTCAAATCACAGCGTATGTTGCATGCTTGATGGCTGGAGGCAGGCTCACTTGTGGCCGTCTCGAGTCATTCAGACACACAGCTGCGTTTGGGATTCAGGATGTTTCAGGGTACAGTAGCTTGACGTCCACCCCAGCATGTTTGCATCAACTGAGGGATCTAACCCAGGCTTCAGGTGGCGGATCCTGTGGTGGAGACACGCGTGTCGTCACGGCGCCGCGTGCTCAGAACAATCCTGGACTCATGGCCAAAGCGGCGGAAAGCTGGCGAAGCTGCTGAGGCCTGGATCCGGTGACAGGCACGGCCCATTACTCGTTAGGAGCTGAGGCTGAAGGCAGTAGTATGTGTCAAAAAGGTGTCAAATGTGTCCACATGCGAAGTCTTATCGGCCTTCAGAATGGCCCAGGAACCCAAACAGCGTCGCTGTCCGACAGCGACTCATCCGCTGTAAGCATGACGAGGGTGAGAAGGCCTGCCTCCCAGTGAATGCACGGGAACTGGCGGAATGCCTTTTCTTCAACTCCCTGTCAGGTTAAGGAGCGGATCAACATCTTCTTGGACAACGTGGCGCAGGTGTCAGAGTCCTGGAAGCGAGCGTGGGCCTTGTTACGCTGCATTATGCTGCATTGAAGTTGCCGATGCTTGCCTGTATATGCAATGTGGCAAATGCGGCGCACGCGCTAGATGTGGCAGGGAAAGTAGCAAGAAAGAATGACACTGCGCTGAGATCGCGAAGTTGAGGTTGTAGTCGGTCGGATGATTTCTGATAGTTTGTGACTCAGGTGTTCACAACTGTGCTTGCTGATGGACAGCCAGATGATGTTGCAGCAGGATTGGCTGCTTGACCTGTGGCATCCTGTTCAAAGCTTCGTTCTTCACGATGCCATAATGCGGAGTGTGCAGGTGTCTATGAAAAGGTCTCCAATCCACTTCCTTCTGAGCTTGCGCAGGACTACACTATATTACATTGCTCGATGTTATTGATTTGCGTGCTTTTTCCAGTCGACATAGAGTCCGCCACGTGTCTCAGGATCCAAATAGCGGCCTTTGAGATGTGGAGGCCTGGTGCGTGCTCACGTCCGCGTGTCCTCTCGAAATTGCTGTTTTCTCTTTTCCCATGTCAGGCTCAAGACCGACATGTCGGTGTCACCCCGCGGCTTGTCTCCGCTTTGCTGCCACGGGCGGCGTGTCACATAATGAGTTTCACAGGGAGCCGAAACATCGGCTTCCGCAGTACCATGAGCTTAAATAAAGAATCTCAAGGAGCCAGAAACGGCCAAAGTCATGCTCTAGCCGAAGGCAGCTGTGTTGAAGTTCTGGTGAGACTGACGCCGCGGTATGGCTTTGCAGCAAGCATACTACATCAAGTCATGCGAAGTCTCACTCACCCTGCAAGTCCATTGAACCTACTTGGAAAAAGATGTCGTGGTCTGACATGTGTCGGTCCTATCCTGATCATGGGTTTTATCCTTCCGCAGACGCCTTCCCGTAGAGGATGTTGCAGGGATAGGCTCCAGTGACAGCTTCGTTTTTGAGGGAAGGTAGTTGGGTGGAGAAACTGAGCTGGCATTTTTGTCAGAAGCAGCTTTTGGCTTCGCAATCTAGCGACGAACAGCAGAAGCAAAACTAGATCTCATCTGCTGAAACAGAGACCACGAGCTCCAGTATTATTGCTCTTCTGATCAGTGGGCATGACACAGTGAGGGTCGGTTGTCATCTCCACAGTACAAGTTCTTTCCCGGCAAGTGTGTGCGAAGATCCCCCATCAACTTAGAAAACCTGGGCCCGAAGACTCCTGTGACCCTTGCGACAAGACCTGCGCCCTCAATCCTCTACCATGGAAAGAATGCAAAACTATCTTGCTCGCAGCAGGCTTTTGAGCAAGTGGTGCCTTCGTAGGGAATAGACCGTGCTCTCTCAACTCATGCAACTCTGACAAGGGACATCTGTTGTCGGCCCAGATGCCGCACCTTGAGGGCCATGCCTTTGCTTTACTCTGGTACGCGGGTCTTGCCGCGGCTTTCCAGTCCTCTCAGACGAACTGTGCTGCAAATCCAGCGTACGTTGGCGACCACATCGTTCCACTTTGTGCTGTCAACTTCCCAGAGAAGTCTTCGACCACATATGCATCCTGGGTTGTTCATTTCTACGCTGGGAACTGCAGGCATTGCCGGGAGCTAGCTGTGACACTTCAGAAGGCAGTGAGCGCACCGGCAATGCTGAAGAAAGGTGTCAAGGTCGGCGCTGTGGATTGTCATGATGCCTCAAATGCCAACCTTTGCCGAGGTCACAAGGTTTGGAAATTTCCTGTTTTGATGATCCTTTCCAGTGGCTCGCGGTACACTGGACCACTCGACACAGCTGCAATGGTTGACTGGATGAGTGAGGTAAGTGAACCGGGACTGTTGCCTCCAATGCTGCAGAAGATGAGCGTTTGTCCAGCCTTCCATCTCTACGAAGAGCCGCAGCTTGCCAGAGAGTTCCTCATGGCCCACAACATCTACCGATGCGCTGCAGGCATTGACATGTTGGAGTGGGACATGACGGCTTTTCAAACAGCACGCAGCTACGCGCAGAAGGCGCCAACAGACAGATTGGCCCACAGCAAGCCAAGCGAGAGACGGGGAAAGCATGGCGCGACGTTTGGAGAGAATGTTGCCATTGGGGAGCACTTGTGGCCGGGGCAAGTGGTGGCTCGCTGGTACGATGAAATTCGAAATACGCAAGGTGGAAAGTTTCGTCCCAACCGCGCGGGCCTGGGACACTACACGCAGATTGTTTGGCGCAAGACCCGAAAAGTCGGTTGCAGTTTCGGGCAGAATCGACGCGTGGCCATCTGCCACTATGATCCTGCAGGCAATGAGCGTGGAAAGCACCTGTCGCAAGTCGCACCACCGCTACCTGGTTTCTTCGGCCGCGAAGGACAAGAGCGCTGCGGCGCAGTCGTCGAAGAGATCGGCGCACCGTGAGAAAACTGGGGAAGAGACCCGAATGCAGTCTCTGTGCTTGTCCTGGTGGCGATGACTTCAGGTTGTAGCTAAGAGAGCGTCCTCTCACATGTCCCGGTTCCAGTACCAGTTTCATCAAACTGAAGCAGCATTTGCCACATCACATCAGCGTAACGCAGTGCACACCCTTTTTTATTCCTAGCGTTGCCTGCTTCTGTTTCTGAGAAGATTGGGACACGCTTTGGGGCCGCGTGCTCATTTTGTATCGCTGTTGGCATTTGTTCACTGGCGCTGGCCAAGAGTCACCTAGGCCAAAGCATGCCCCGATTTGAGGCCGTTTAGCTCGTGTGAACTCGTGTTTCTCGTGTTTTCTCGTGTGCCGTTTGATTCGCTGGCCTCAGAGTGCGTCCTGAAGGAGCTGTCGCGTACTGACCTTTGCTCTGCAGCCTGGCTCTCATCATCTTTCTGGGCACGTGGGAGAACAGTCATGTGGTTAGGACCTGATGCGGTGCCCGCAAGGTCTTGGACATCCAGAAAGGTCTGGCCGACCTGACGAAGCGACTGGATTCAGTGGGCGAGGTCCCAGCCCAAACAAGTCCATGGTGGCAGGGAGAGTTGTGCAATGCGTGGGCTTGCCCGAGTCAAGGAAAACACCCTCCTCAGAGAGGCCGCCTCTACAGAATTCTATAGACTGCTGTGGTTTGTGTGTGTGTGTGTGTGTGTGTGTGTGTGTGTGTGTGTGTGTTTGTCTTGCATTATGTGCTTTCGGAAGAGCAGCTGGTGTCTTCGCGACTTGGCAGGAGAATGCGTTACTGAAGGATGCAATCGATGAGCGCATAGAGGGAGCCAGGCAGGCTGTATGACAGAACGTCCTGGGCCGTTTCATCCTTCCATGCCAGGGATCAAGGCCCACGAGCCTCCGGCAGACGTGCCGACAAGGAGAGGCTGGTCGCTCAAGTTGCTGCGCTTCTCCGGTTGCCCAAGCAGCGCAGTCACATTGTCTATGAGGTGACGGTGAGTGCATGACCCAATTGACACCTTCATGCCGGGCTTTGCCCGATGTGCCGTGGGCGTAGGTGTAAATGTACAGGCAGTTTGCCATCAGAGCAGGTGTGCAAACTCCTCGACTCGACTCCAGCGTTGAATTGAATGAAAGCCTTGCAAAAATCCTTGATTTCACGAGAGGGCTCAGAACTATTGCCGGGTTTTGCAGATGATGGCGGGTATGCACTCGGAGTCACCAGCTTGCAGACAAGTCTACAGCTAAAAAGAGAGCCACATCATCGTGACTGAAGTTGTGGCCCGTGGTTATCTTGGATATTCTTGGCAAGAGGGTTGGAGCTTTCCTGGCGGCATGGCTTTGTGAGCCGCTTGGACCATTTGGTTCGCCCTCGCCCTACCACTCACCTTAACCTCCAGCATATCGGTCGCTTGCCGTTTGCTTGGACCCCCCCCCGGTTTCGATTTCTTCCGACTGGAGGGAAAGCTGCCCTTGTGGGTTCCTCCCTCCAAAACTTGTTTGGAAGAACATCGTACCATCAATGGACATGCCTTCGAAACTCATGTGAATCCTTTCCAAACCCATGATGCGAGCATGGTGCTTGCCATGGGGCAGCCCCCTTGGCGAACTTTTTCGTGCCTTACACGTACTAGCAATGCCACGCGCAAAGTCTCACTTGGCTTTCTGCTGCTGTGGCGCGTCCTTCTTCATCATGATGTTTCCGGAAGATAGTCTGTTTCACTTTGGTATAGATTTCGATCCGAGCCTGAGGACCTGAGGGCCCTGACTCTGAGTAGCTGTGTGTTTTCTGAGAACACACGTGGAAAGCAGCTTTATTGCTCAAGGTCTGAAGTTGCTTCGCATACCTTCAGTCCATGCAGCAGTCCCGCATCACTGCCGAAATATGCGAAAGACGCCTTCCACGCTGGCTATGAGCTTTTTGGCACCTCGAGGTTTCCTCAAGTTTCCTCAATGCTGCCATGCCCAGTACCACCGCTGCAGCCGCTGCAGCCGCAGGACATGCATCCATTGATTGACAGAGTCAGCGTGCTCTTTGCAAAGCATAGAACTTCGGAGGATATGCCTGGTGGCCCTTGCTTGCTGACCAAGGCCCCGAAGGTTTTGTCTTCAGGGATGTAAGGAAGGACCCCTGGAAGGGACCCTTTATCTTATTCCCCTATGAACCCCCCCATACATGCCACATATAGTCCCTACATACCTACGTGGCCCCTACATTACCCCTGAGGTCCCTTACAAGGGTCGCCCCCCTTAGTCCCTTGTACGCCGTAATTTACACAATCTTGCATACTTTGTCAGGCGATGCCCAGCTTCCCAGCTGCTGTACCTTCGGCAGGCCTCTTTAGCGACCTCGCAGGAATTCGCCTCTAGAGCTTTCCTTCCTGTGCGTCAGCTCGAGGCCACAGTGGGCTGACCAACACAATGACCTGGCAAGAGTATGGGCCTCACTCTGCGCAGGCTCATCTTGCTACATCTGGTTTCACGCCCCTGAGGTACCGAAGACGTATCGTGGAAATCTACGCGGTGCACAAACCAGACAATGTACACAAAGTTGATTACCTGCTGAATAAGCAAGGGTCTTTGCATGGTTCTGCTGCTCCTTGCAAATGAACACATCTTCAATACTTCCTCATGTACAGTATAAGGTACAAGGGAGATGAAGAGTTTCTGTACCGCAGCATCTGCGAGAAGTGCCCGTCACAGAACAAGGAACTTTGCAATCGGATACGATTCAGTCTTGCAAGTGCAGCGGAAAGGTACAGCGTGGACACATCGCAATGGCCGCTGCCTTGTGCTGTCTGCATGTCGTGGAGCGATGGTGCTCGTGCAGTGGCAGCAAAAACAGCCATCGTCTGCGTGGGTTCTCTGCTACCCATTCCGATGGCTGTCTATCAGACTGATCCTCATAGCACTGACAGGCCAAGTGAGAGAGCCCAGCTGGCAACTAGAACGTTTAATCATTCCCCGAAGTCCATGAAAAGCTAGAAGCCACGCAGTAAAGTGTAAAGGAATGCTTCGAAAAGCTTGGTGAGGTCCAATCCGCCTCCCAGCTCCTTGAGTTCGGTGGCGCCGCCGGTTGCGTTAAGGCCGCTCCTGCCGCCACCGCAGGGCACCCGTCTGTCGATCGGAATGCTGCGGCTGCTAAGGATGCATAGTCTCTCCCTGCTTTTTGCCTCCAGAACTCAGGCCGCCGCCACCTCCGGCCGGTCTGCGCCGCCTCCTTAGCCTTCTCTTTCCATGTGCTCAACGATGGTAACAGCGACAACTGCACCTCTCCTGCGATGTGATCGAAGTATGACCTTGGACCTTGACTGTCGGATGACGTCGGATTGCAGCGAGTATTGACTTGCCCCAAGGGCCACCATGGGCAGTTGGCTGAGACTTTGGACCCTCAACGCCACAGCGCGAACATGACACGCATCCTTTGTCGCGAGGCAGTTCAAAGCCAACCAGCCCCAAATGCCGCGTGCCCCTCTCAGAGTGTGCCGGCCGTGCACTTCTTTGAGTCATATCGATTCATGGCCTTCTAAGGGCTGCCGCGCAAACCAAAGCCAGAAGTGCGCCTGTCGCAGTGTCGAAGCACAGCCGGGCGCTGATTTGCCTTGAGAAGGTGAGGCTGGGTAATGATGGAAGAGTCTCTCTCAGGCCCTGCAGCTGCCCAGTTTGGGTTTGCTGGCACTCAGGTCAGCTGATGTCAGCTGTGTGCTGTGCATGCTGCGATGTTCTACAAGTGCTCGGTTCTTTCAGGACGCTCCCAGTCCGACGAGAGCAGGCCCAAAGGGGCCAACTGCAACAGTGTGATGCGGCCCATTCAACATTCCTGCCAGAAGGTGTTGGCTTCGTGCAGTCAGCTCCTGCAAAGGCCATGTTGTTTGTGCATAAGACACTCTAGGAGTTTCATCTTGAAGCTTGCTAATCTCTTTCTCAGAATTTCGGAAATGTGACGCTGTGCAGGTGCCGCCACGGCAAAAGCACCAGGTTATGGAATGGGACCCGGCGACAGGAGAGATGGTAGCCACGACTGTCGACATTGAGATGGGTGAGGCGCAGGCAGGATTCCCCGGGTTTCCTTTAAAGACCCTTCAGTGGCATCTGTGGGTCCTTGCGCATGGAGGACCCGGAACCTGAACGAGAGAAGGCCGCGATGGCTCCAGTGACCATCACTCCAACGGTGCCGTTGGTTCCAAAAACTCCTCCGCCAATTACGCCAACTGCACCAAGTGCGCCACGGGACCCAGTGCCTACGGACCCGTCGCCCAACCCGTCGCCCATTGCCGCTTGCCAAGAGGGTTGCGGCTATCGTGAATCCCTGCGTGTCTGACCGTGTCTGTTCAGACTTAGAAAATGGCATCAGCCGAGGCAAACAGGGCCCAGCAGGCAGCATGCGGGAGCATCTCTCACCAAGTTCAGTTGCTCCCATCTCCGAGGGCCCACAACATGCACTGAAGGAGTTTGTGGGTTGGCATGGCAGATCATGGCAGGCCACCCAGCACGACAACTACGACCCCTTCACAGGCAAAAGTCGCAAGCTTTTTTTGGAAACGCTTGAGCGCCTTGAGCCGGGCTGGCAGCCGGGCTGGCCTAACGCGCACGAAATGTAGCATGCGCAACGGTCCTAGGAGGGGTCCAGTCTCAAGCGTTTTCCTGGGTCCCATTCGTGCTTTTTCGCGTGTCGGAGGAGTTTCCGAGCCGGAACCCCGCATTTCGGCTCCTCCAGGTGGTTTGGGCAGGTCCCACACAGAAGGGGGGGAGCGTGCAGAAGGTTTCTGGGAAAGGGGGACGCTTGTTCTAGACGCCTTTCGGCAGGAAGCCGAGGCAAACTTGCTAAGCCGCTTGCACCAGTCTTTTTTGCGGTGTGACTGAGCAGGTGCTCCCAGCAGTCCTCGTGAGCTCGACATGGTGCGGGATGCAGCTTTTGCCACGGCGATGACGATGCTACTCGCACTTGCTCAGGTGATCTCACGTGCTCACAGCTTCATATCGACCAGCCTCGAAGTACCAACTGTCCAGCATAGAGGAGGACCTGTCAAATCCAGTCAACATCCTTGAAGAAGGGCGACGGATGGAACAACCTAGAATGCGTACGCCATGATGCATTGTGCAAGCATAAACGGACCTCCTATCGTCATTGAAAGTGAATCTTGCCATCAGCTTCAGCAAAGAAATGCGAAGTGTCTCCGCTGCCTCATGTGCCGTGGTGCTGAGCTGCCTTGCAGTGGGCTCTTGCAGCTTCGTGCCGGACTTCTTGGCTTGGGCAAACCCGTGGGACGGACTGAAGAAGTATCTCTTTCAGGACGAGGTGAGCCCGTTGGACACAACTCCGGGCAACAGTTCATCGGTGCTGCATCATGACGTTGCTCCATGGACAAAGGGGAGAACCGATGGTTTGCCTGGAAAGCTCAGCCCCGGCTTTGCTGTCTCAGGCTTGGGAAATCTTGGGGAACTGCCGGAAAATCTCAGGAATCATGGATCCGTGCTCAGTGGACTCTTCTTGACACCCCTGCAGGGCCAAGTGCGAGGAGAAGACCCGTGCTCAAGGCAGCGGCACACGCATGATGCAGTACCCCTGCCCTTGCACATTCCTGAAACCTAAGCCGAAGCTTGAAGCCCCACATGCTGTCACGAGGGCAATCAATGAGTGACGTCAGGTCCGTGCAAAGTGGATTTTATAAGTGCCCCCGCAGCTCTGAATTCATATTGCCGAAGGCCGACGCCCACGACTTCCCCGAGCGCTTGGACGAGTTCCGCCACAAGGAGCCTGTCGTTCTTCGTGGCTTGGTCAGGCGGTGGCCCGCCACGCGCGAGTGGACTTGGGAGCAGCTTGCAGATCCTGCAGGATGGGCCCTGTGTTTCTCGTGTCTTCGCATGGCGATGTGGAGAGAATGCTGGGGGTCGTGTCTGCCAGATTGGTTCCCTGAGGCAAGTATAGGCACTTCCATCTGGAGAAGCACTTGCAGCAGTACTTCTCCACTCATGCAAAGGCGGCAGAGCAGCACCAAGAGCAGCACAACTGGATGCTTTCATACTCTCCTGCGCTGCTCCTGCTCTGGTCTGCTTCTGCTAGAACGAGAATCTCTTCTTGGAGAACATCATATTGCAGCCGCCCTTCTCCGAAGACTGCCCCTTTGCGCAGCGCGCTCAGCACACTCAGTTCCAAGTGCTGTGTTGCGCTCATTCCACACCAAATTCCAAGCCCAAATCCTCTCCAACAGCCACCTGAGGACAGTCACGCAACAAGGGGATGGTCCCAGCAAACTTCTTGGCAGACCTTCTGCTGCATCACGAAACCTAGCTGGCGGAGCTAGTCTTCAGCGCTTTTGCAGGTAGGGTCGGACAAGTTCCGGAAAGCTGCGAGCTTTTTATTCTGTCATAGGATGAGGGTGTGTTGGGGGGTGGGTGGGGGTTGGGGGCCAACATTGAACAGTTCACAGAATATGTTTGTTCGTTTAAATATGATATATACATGTATAGACACACAAAAATGTATGTGTTTGTTTTACTGAGATTTGTTTAAAAACACACACACACACAGACATACATACATACATACATACATACATACATACATACATACATACATACATACATATACATACACATATATATATATATATATATGCTACCCCCCCCCCCCCCAGCGACCTACCCTTAGGCCTTTTAGGCCTTTTTAACAAAAAATAACAAAGAAGGCCCAAAAGTCGCGTAGTTAATCACCGGGTAATGAAGGACAGCTACTGGGACACCCACCTCACAGACCCCGATAAGCTAGCATTGGAAGAATCTACATTTTGAATCTGAAGCGGACAATGCTGTTTTTAGATGTTTAGATCAGTGTTTTTCTATGCAAATTGTGCGTTTCAAGGGCAATTAATGTTTTGTTGAGCAACTAATTTATTTATACAATTGTGTTTGTACGAGGCAAAGTATTAATCAAATAGTGAAACATCTTTCTTGGTTCTATGCGAATTTAGCTACTAGAGTAATTATTAAGCAAAGAGCCCAATTTGACTCAAGTGAATACTATTTAAAGGAGCATACTCAACCAAGATACGAAATAAACACCATGTTCAACCAAAAAATGGCAAAGTGTGCGTTTAAAGTGCAAATACTGTATTTATACAATTGTGTTTGTACTGGGCAAAGTATGCTCTCTGAAAAGTCCACTGAAATACCTTATGTTTACATATTCATGAATCGTTTTTCTTTTTGAAATAATCATTTTATGCGAATCTAGCTACTAGAGTAATTATTAAGCAAAAAGCCCAATTTGACTCAAGCGAATACCATTTAAAGGACCATACTCAACCAAAATACGAAAGAAGCACCATATTCAACCAAAATATGGCAAAGTGTGGTTTAAAGGGCAAATAGTGCTTTGTTGAGCAACTAATGCATTGAAACAGTTGTGTTTATACCAGGCAAAGTATTTTGAAGTACTATCTGCAAAGTCAAATGAAACACCTTATGTTTACATATTCATGAAACATTTTTTTGAAGTATTCATTCTATGCGAATTTAACTACTAGAGGAATTCTTAAGCAAATAGCCCAATTTGACTCAAGTGACTACTATTTAAAGGACCATACTCAACCAAATACGAAATAAACACTTGCGGAAATGGAAACGGTTTCTACCTACATAACAATGAGACAAAGATTGCTGAAGTATTCACTAAAGACCACTTATATACTATGTCTGAAAAGCACAATTTGCATGAGCAAGCTTAAAGATGCACAATAATGGAAACAGAAGCGGTTCTACTTACATAACGATGAAACAAAGATGTCTGAAGTATTCAATAAAGACCACATACATACTATGCTTGAAAAACGCAACTTGCACAATCAGGCTTAAAAAATGCACAAGAATCCTAGAAAAGTACTTAGTGAAGGCCATGCACAAGCAAATTCACAAATACATAAAAAACATCCAAAAGCGCAAGCTTTTCAGGAGAATCTCTGGTAAAGTTTGGATTATAGGGTTTTGGGGTATTCCTGGACGAGTAGGAGTCACTTTTTAAGCAAACAATTCTAAGCAATAAATGCTTTTTCTCAAGACAAGTAATTATTGCAAATGCTGCTTCTAGATAATTAATCGCATTTACCAGGCAAATATTATACATGCGAATTGAGCTACCGGAGCACCAAGTAATGGCTGAATAAGGCCTACTACACTTGAGTACAACCAAAAGATGCACTAAACACTAGCGGCTCTACTTACATAATAACGAAACAAATAGTTCTGAAGCACTAGAAAGACCACTTGTATACTATTTCTGAAAAGCACAAAATTAGCATAAGCACACTTAAAAATGCGTAGTTGTTGCCTCGTGACCGTGAAGGCGAACCAAGAAGCCAAAAACCAAAACCAAAAAACCAAAAATACCAAAACCAAAAAAACCAAAAAAACCAAAACCAAAAAAACCAAAAATACCAAAAAAACCAATTTTCCGGGACTCTTGGAGAAGCCTCATAGGGATTTCCTGAGAGTCCCGGAAAATTGTTTTTTTTGGTATTTTTGGTTTTTTTGGTTTTTGTTTTTTTGGTTTTTTTGGTTTTTTTGGTTTTGGTTTTTTTGGTTTTTTTGGTTTTGGTTTTTTGGTTTTTTTGGTTTTGGTGTTTTTGGTTTTTCTACTGTCCCGTGTATGCGGTTTTAGTTGTATTTTAGTCTACGCCCTAGGAAATACGCTATATTGCACACCGAGTTTGCTTGCAGTGCAGCTGGGTGACTTGAGACAAGGCGAAAAAGGGTAGGTCACTGGGGGGGGGGGGGTACCATATATATATATATATGTATATCTATGTATATACATACACGCATGTCTGAACTTGTATTTGAGACTTGTTGTGGAGTCGAGATTGGCAGCGGCAGCAGCTTATGCGATGGGTTTCGGGGTATTGAGGGTTTAGGGCAATTTAGGGTTTAGGGTTTAGGGTTAAGGGCATCTGCGGTTTGCTTTTGTTTGCCTCAGCTTGCCCCTCACATGATGCATGTGCTTGATGAGCCAGCACAGTCATCTCATGACATCGTCCGAGACAGCAAGGCAACTTCTTGCCACGGCTAAACCAGGCCAGGGCACCTTAGACCACTTGATGACGGATCGGGCCGATGAGCTGTTGTTCAGACAGGCGTGGTCGGAGAGCAAGAAGCAGGCCATCCGTGCCATGGCCCAAGTTGTGCAGAGCACCGGCACCGTATGGCTCACAGCATTTGGGAATATTGGGGCTCCTGCCCTTCCTCGGGTTTGGGGTGTAGGCTGTGCAGCTTGGAGGGCTCGCTGCCAGAATTCTAGGTCCTAGCTAAGTGTTTTTTTGGGTCTTATTTGGTCCTTCTTGCTGTTGATAGTGTGCCTGCCTGGTCATTTTGAGGCAATGGCGCTGGGGGATGCCTTGCCCCCAAACCCTTACTGCAAGTATTCGGGGCGTGAGGATGGATCGCCTCCAACCTAGTCCTGAAGCATTGAATGTGGGCTCAGGCGATCTCTCACCTGAGGCCTTCTACGCGGGCGTTTCTTATCGCGGGTTTCGGTCAGGGGAAGTAGGGACTCGCCTTTGTCTCCGTCACCACTCTCCGCCGCCCTCCCATTCTCGCTTGAGGGGTTATGGGTGCGTGGGCCGTGTACGAGACGGGTCGGCTGTGTCCGGGACTTGATTTCTTGCCCGCCTTCTGAGTGAAAGCTTGAGAGCCTGGTGAGGCTCCTCAGCCTAGGCAGTGAACTGAACCGGGCAGCCCCGTTCCTGTCCCGTCGACTGCCTTGGCTCTCTGGAGCTCTCATGACCGTCTACGTGGTGTTGGCATCCTCCTTGTGTCTGTCGCCCGTTTCTCCGCAAACTGCCTTCCACGCTGTTGTCGCCTCCTAAAGGATCAAAGACGCACCCGACGCGAGTAGCCCGGCAGCTATGCAAATTTCAAAAAGCATTGATTATTGGGGAATAGCAAGCTTGCCCAAGAGGCCACGAAACAGGAAAACACATCTTACCATGTTTTCGCGACATGGAACGGCTCCAGCACGACAATGTGCACGGGGCCTGCAGGGGTGGAAGCATGATTCGAGAACAGAGAGGCATCTCTTGTCTTCTTCACCTCTCTCTCCCTCTCTCTCTCTCTCGCTCTCGCTCTCTCTGGCTCTCTCTGGCGGAGTGCTGGCGCGCTTCTTATGGTGTAAAGGAGCCCAACGCGATTGTGAACAGGATTGGCAACACTGCGAAAGCACCAAAGCGTGAGATCCTGTCCAAAAAGTTGCGCATCTCTGTTCGCCTGCCCCTGCGTCTACCTTCTCCTGATTCTTCAAGGAGCCCTGCCACCGGAAGGAGCGCTGCCACCGAAAACAGAGGGACGTCGCGCGTTCGCCGTACCTCTGACGCGCAGCACGTCTCGGGCTACACAGCAATGCACTTGGCAGCTAGGGCTGGCTGCGTTGAGCTCGTGCCTCGTTGCTGCAGGAGAGGGCCTCGCGTGATTCGGTGGCGTCAGACGGTTCAACCCCGTAGCACTGGGCAGATCTCTGCAGCACAGAATAGATGTCGGCTCATCGCAGCCGGATCACGATTCAGCACTTTCGTGGCAATCTCCATAACGGATTTTCGACAAATCAATCGCGCTGTTGCAAGGTGGCCAAAACAAGCCAATTCCGTCACAGACGTGATTCAGGATCTTTATGGATCACCTGTGTTTAGATGGCTTACCACAGGATGCAGAAGCGTTGCGCACATGAACCACACCTTCCATTTGACGTGGTTTGTTCTTCAACGCAGAACACTGCAGCGAAGCTCCCCCCCCCTCCGACAGTTATGCCTCTGGACCGTTCCCCAGACTGTGCTCAGGAAGGGCTCCTTGACGACGAGGACTATGCTGAGTCTGTGCAGGGCTTCATCATCGCCGGCCCTGCAGGGGCAGGTGGCATGTTGCACATGGACCCAGGCCTGGTCGACTGCTTAAAAAGCTTCTGCATGCTTTTTGCTGCCTTGGCATTCTGTCATGCGATGTCCTTCCCGATCCCGGGGCCAGATTCCACAGCCTACTGGAATGCCTTGGTCCACGGCCGTAAGCGCTGGATGTTCCTCAAACCTGAGGACAGTTGCCACATGTTGCCACTGCTAGTTTGAGCATGTTTGAGATGGCACGACCTTGCCAGGAGTTAGATGCACTTGCGGATGCTCTGATCCATGCAAATTTGGAGCAGGCAGAGATCATGTGGAGTCCATATACAGCAGTCATTGTCCGTTGGGCGAGGAGCTTGGCTTGCTCACCTTGCCTCCGACCAATGTAAGCCGACCAGTGACGACCAGACATATGAAGAGGCAATGGACCTGTCCGAGTCGGTGTGTGGTCTCATATCTGAAGACGCGCTTGTCAGGCTACTGCAGAAAGTCCCCGCCATCCATTGGTTTGGCCGTTTGATGCCGCTTTTGCAAGAGGCCCCCCCCCCCCCTTTTCGAACCGCAAACTTTGCGTGATTGCGAAGGGGTCAAAAATCCCCCTGTGCAGGCAAAGCTGGACTTCGGCCATGCGGAGGTCATCGTGGAGGACCCTGAGCCCTAAGCCATCAATCCCAAGCGCTACTGTATGAAGCTACGACCACTGCTATTGCCCAAGATTGCTCTCCAGGCTGGGGAGCTTGTCTACGGACCTCCTGGCATTTGGCATATTGCCCTGGCTCTGGAGGCTCGGTCCCTTGTCCAACCTTGATGGGTGCAGTCGATGCCTAAATGCCACAGCATGTGCTTCTCCAAAGGTCCCCCTGCATTTCTGCTGTTCGCCTTGTGGCGCAGGACTCCATATGCTGCAGCGAGCAGCTGATTGACGACGCGAACCTTGTCCGGTTCGTTAAGGCGAGCAGTCAGTCCAGTCCCTAAGCTTTGGGTTTTCCTTGGGAAAAGAATTAAGAGCCATCCAAGTCATCTCCTTTGATGTTTTGTAGATTGCTGGCCCACGGCAATTTCATGCTGGAGTACTGGGCTTCCTTCCGCAGAGCATGAGATGCCCGCTGCCCGCAGGATGAGGGCCAGCCTTACGAACCAGCGTTTGCATACCTGGGCTGCCAGGCTTGGCGGGACGCCTTTAGAGTTGATCAGATGTAATTTAAATCCATCCGCTATTTGGTTGGCATATCCGTGCTTGCAGCCAATGCCGCTGCTGGTGGAGGCTGCAAAGAAGCATTGGCCCCATCTAGTTGCCGGGAGCTCGGTAAACCTGCGCGAATCAGATTTCCGAAGTTTACGCTCAGACGGCGCAGAACAAGGTTTGTTATGATGATCCTTTCTTGCTTCTACTCCTGCGGCAAAGCTTCGGGAGGGAGACCGTCAACACGTGGTAGAAGTAGAAGTAAAGCAGCAGTCGTGTTGCGGGTTCGCACGCGCAATCTGGTCGCATAGTCTCACATTGAGAAACGGTCGACACGGCACTCACTGCCATGAAGCTGACCACAAGCCTCTCCCGGAAAGAGGGCTTTCACACAAGAGGCACCGCCTTCAAAGTGGTCGATGATGATGGCAGTGGAAGCCACCAGCACATATGGGTGGAAATGGCATACGGGTGGAAACGGCGTCCACTCCGTGCTCAGTTGCTCCGTGCTCCGTTGCTCCGTGCTCCGTTGCTGCGTGCTCCACTCCTTGTATCTCTGTGCAGGGTTTGGTTTAGGGTTTTGCGCCCAGTGCGGCGCAACTGCGCAACGGCGCAGCAACAGATAAACGCCAGGGACATTCGCAGCTGGAGAAAGCGAAATCTGCAGATCACTCGCAACGAAAACACCAGGATCGAGCTAGAGCCACCTTCGACACGGTCCCCGTTGAAGTTGTTCACAAGGTTTTCTGTCGCAACCTCGTGAGCACCACCGAAGCTGCAAATGATGTAATCAGCAGAACCATGTAACGCATTACTGCTTTCTTGTGCCTGTTTGTTGTGCTCGCCCCATGTGCATGCCAGTATGTGCCGCTATGACCGTAGGGTTGCTGGGTTGCCGGGTTCCTATTGCATCATGCCTTGCCGTGACACAATTCAGGAACCGATTGCTGGCTTTTGCAGTCGCGCCGAGCGGGACTTGAGAAGGCCACGCGAGTGATCATGCCTGCTGCATCTTGCCGTGCAGCACATCACAACACAACCATGTGCTAAGATCATCTGTTCCATGGGCTAGACACAAACGACCAAAACCACTCTGGTTTGAAAAGGCTTCAGGCTTTTTCGAAGACTTCGCAAGAACGTGAGAGATGTTGATTGCTGGAGCTTCGACTCATTTGGGCGCAGCTCCCATTCGTTCCTCCCGTTCATGCCAGTGTCCGCTTCAGGCAAAATGGGTTTCTGCAGCCCAAGCGCAAGAGCCGACTGCTGAGTCTCTGCGCTTCCGTGGCTCCCTCGCATCAAGATCCCTAAGTGCTTGACCCGCTAAGGTCCATCGTGCAACGGCACTGACAAAAGCGAGAACTCCAGCTGTCGTGCTGATTGAGACATCATAGGTTAGTTGGCCCCATCTGCGGACCGAAGCTCAGCAGCCTCTGCCGTGACACCACTTCCCGAATATGGTGTGATGTTCACTTCGATCCATCTCAGGAGCTGCTAGCTTCTCACTGCAGTCGCCACTCGACTTGGAGAAGGCCAGTTGCGGCTGCGCTGGCTTCCCTTCCTCCGCCATTCCTCAATCTCAATTGAGTCTGAGTTCATTCTGAGAGGTAAGCAGCCAACACCATCCCCACCAGAGGGGCCGGGACGGTAGATTCGAGTCTGCTTCGCTGCAATGCCGCGATGTGTTGCATGGAGTCTGATGCTTGAGGTGCAGCAGCATGGAGTGGCGAGCAGCAAGCGAGAGTCAGAGAAAAGGTTGCACTGCTCATATGGAAACTTTAGCGCTGTCTGATGCACAAAGCTGGCACACCAGCACGCTATCGCGGAAGCAACCATGCAGACAAGTGCTGTTTCTTGTACTTGCGTGAGATCAGCAGGTCGATATCGACTATCTCCTTCTGGGCGAACGTAGTGGCTTCTTCGAAGAAGTTTACACAGGCCTGCCAGCCACTGCCGTCAACCAGAACTGCGCCGTTCTCTGTTGTCGCGATCGTTCCCCTGCGTTGCTTGCAGCAAGGTGCTCCCAAGGTGATGATTAGAAATCCTCCGCAGGCTGTGGGCTCTCTGCTGTCCCCCTGAACCCTGCAGGGAATGCCAGATGTCGCGCTTGAGGCTGCAGCCCTTCTTGCGCATTCAGCAGAAGCTGCTCCGCCGATGGCCCTCAGCCGCGCCAGCACGAGCGAGTCGATGCACGTGTCAGGCGATCTTGACACAGATTGGGAGGGGATATAGAAAACCTGCAACCTGTGTAATCATAATCTCCGAAGCCCGATACCTTGCAGGAGAGCCCCAGGACCAGTCCGAAGGAACGCATGTGCTGGCCCAAGAGCACCATGAGCACATGAGATGAGTATCTGGTGTTTCGCAACACTTCATCACAATGACCTACTGCAGCTGACAAGTGTCCACACTCAGTGCATGGAAGTAGCCTGCTTCGAAGTGCTTTCAATGTACATATTTTTCGGGTGAGAGGCTGCGAGTGCCGGAAGTGCCGGAAAGCTTGACTCTGGTGAGCCAGCGGGGCAAGCCGAGGATGGGCACTGCGATTGCCAGCGGTTCAGTCCCACGCAGTGACAGACTTGCAAGGACACACCAATGCTTCCTGGAGACGGAGATGACGCTGGCCTTGGGCACATTGGATAGGCACGTCACCATTTGCGGCACATCTGGGGTTCTTCCTGTGAGGTCAAGACGGTCAAGCTGCTTCTTTCGATCCCTACCTGGCCGACTCGGCCTCGCCCCCGCATAAGCTGTGTCGTTTCAACATGTCCTCAGAGCTATCAGAGGAATTCTGTAGAAGTTTAACCCAATTGGGGTTACACGAAGTTGTGGATGGCGGGTCCAGGTGCAAAGTCCGCCCAGGACTGCTGCTGAAGAGCCGATGCAATGAAAAAGAGGAGGAGGGCTTGCCTATGCCTGCCTGCTTGTCTGATGAGCAGGTTTTTCCAAGAGAGCTGGCCTAGTGTCGGGGATTCGCATTGGAAGAAGCCCCACGCATTGGCACACACCTACTGCTCTGCGTCCATGGAGACAGTTGCGGCCAGTTGCAGTAGCTTGATTGGCTTGTTGGAGACTGCATCCTCCCTGCTGACCTCTGGCTCGGCTTGCTTGAGGCGAGCGCCACATATGACATAGCAAGTCTGAAGCCACCTATATGTTACAATTGGGAATTGGGGCCAGACATTGCTTGTGCTTGCTAAACATGTAGTCGCCGTCATGTGCGAGCAATGAGTTGGTGGCAAGGCCACGCCTACAGAGGAGGCCTGACCCAACAATAGCGGGTCTTCTCTTTCAACTTTAAACTTTGTAAAACTTTGTAAAACTTTGTAGACATGACCAATAAGATAGTTTGGGTCGTCAGGTTGGGCAGCTCAGCGCTCTACAGAGGCAGGGTCAGCGGGGCCTTTGCATGGCACTTTGTCCAACCTCGGGACTCCCTCTTGAGGCCGGCGATCGTCATGAGTCGCCAGGCCAGTGGTGGCTTCAGACCGAAGTTGAGCGCATGCAAGCGTATTCTGAGGCGAATGGGGATGGATGGGATGGAGCTCGTGGTCTGGCCGGGGTTCCTTTCCAAGTTGGGGCCAGAGATGACAGAGCTGCTATGACTTGCTCCGTTTCCTGTCAGGCTCCCCTGCGTGGTCTTGGCGTGAGGAGCGAGAGGGCAGCCAGGCCGGACCACCAAACCCATTGGAATGTACTTTCAGTAGGGTGTCTTGTAGGTCTCGGACATGTGATTGTAGGACACTTGCAACGCTTGTGGACTGCAGGCAGAGATTGTGCGCCGGCTACAAGTCCTCGCCAAAGCCAACAGGCCAGAGCCACGCTGCTGAAAGCCTGCTCGGGTTCGCTACTCTCCCGCTGAGACTTGAAGGTCAGCCGAAGCCTGGGACATGGCCGCCACGAGCTCATGACATCTCACGGCCAGCCCGAGCCGCTCCCGTAGAAGATGCATAGTGCGCTCCCAGGTTGTGCTCAAAGATTCCGTGGCGTGGTTGGGCAGCCCGGAGCCCGAATCCTGCGGCCACGAGAGTCATAGTGGAGAGTGTATGGCGGATTGTGCGAAGGCCGGGAGTTTGCAAATGCAGCTTGGGCTGTCGCGATTGCAAGGCTCGGACGGCTGACTCGCAAGAGATAAATGCTCTAGCTGAAGTATGGTCTGATCTGGTCCAACATGCACACCCCATATCGCCAACCATGCTGCTCTTTTCCACGAGGGTGACTCCCATAAACTTATTTGCAACCACCACCTGGGGGAGTTGCCCGTTTGCTGTCGTAGCTCTGCTACGATGCTACGCATTGCAAGTCTTCGGCATGTGCCCTTGTTAGACCTTCGATGGGGTTCGGGTTTTACATGAATGTGCTGCTGCACTGTTTTGCTTCACAGGCATCTGCTTGGGCTCAGCAGCCAATGCATCCACCAAGCACCATTCCGTTGACCAGTGTTCCGCTGACCGTTCCGCAGACAAGCGTATCCATGCGGCAGCGGTGGTGGCACGCAGTGCGCATCGAAGTGTGCGTCCAGAATTGTGAAGCTGTCGCGACAAAGAGAAGCCATTCAACATGTGCAATCATCACCTTCTAATCTGGGGTCCCAAGACATTGTATGTGACAAGACGGGACGCCAGAGCGAGCCAATTTGGGAACATGTTGCTGAAGCGGCCCAAAACAATATGAGAAAATTCCTGGAGAAGCTCCTCAACGTAGTCGAACCGGTGTCCTCCCGGGTGCGTGGTATGGGTCGGCTCGCTGACCGGAAGGACTGCTGACAAGCTCCTCATGCACGAGTTGCCGCAGGCTGGTTGTACTGATTATTTTCTTCCACTTGCTGCACATGCTGCAGCGGAAGCGGCCACAGCAGCCCGCCTTCGAGGCTGCGGTGAGCAAGCTGCTCGTGGCTCAGGAAAAGCTGTGTCGTGGATAAGTGAAAGCTGTGTAGTCACGTGCTTCTCTTAAGGTGAGTTTATAAGTCCCTCCCAGGCCGGACATGCGATCGCAGGAGCTTGCGGACACGCTGCAGACCATTGCGAGGATTCTAACGCATTGTATCTTCGAGAGACATGTGAAAATTGTGACAATCTCTTCGAGTCTTTGGACGGCCATAAAATGCCAGTCAGCTCAAGCCTGCAGGCTCGCAACTCTGGACCAGTCGCCACTCCAAGAAGGATCCCATTGTTGAGCCCGTTTGAGTCCGGATGAACATGTGGAGCTTGTGGAAACTCTACTTCAGTGGCATTCGGTTGCGCTCGGCGCAGGCGCACGGTGTGCGCTGTAGTGCGCCTTCGAGCTCAGCGCGCGGGATCCTTCTAGCACCGCTGGGCCCTCATTACTCATCACTCACTCTCGGATATCAATCGGCGTGAGCATGCGTGAATCTGTGTGACCTGCTTCCAGCGGTGTTTTGCTGCGTACACTGAGGCCTGGAGCCTTGGCAAGGTCCAGGCTGGAGGCAAGCCTGCTTTCCAGACGATAGTGTAGCTGGCTCTTCCCCAGGCCGGCCGGCCCTCTGCAGCCAAGAGTTTTTGGGATGCCTCTGCCCGCCAGGTTGCGCTTTTCAGCGATCGAGCTTTGGATGACATGCTTTGGGAACCGACCCAAGCATTCAGAGCCACCACACCCCTGCCTTGCCCGTCGCGAAAGATCACGAGCTGACTTCCGCTTCCATGCTGACATGATTATCATCCCACTCCTGCAGTTTGCTTGGGTTGCAGCTAGCAGCGGTTTCTTTTTTGCCATTTAGGCCTTCGCCACTGCCGAAGCCTTGGATCAGTTCAAAGTCTTGGCTGCTTTGCAAATGCCTGAGCTGAGGTTGACTCCCACGCGGGGCCACCATCGCATTCGACAACAAGGAGAGAGTTATTCGGGAACACCAGGCCGCGCCAGCGTGTCTCCTATAAGACTCCAGAATCAGGATGAGATCTGCCGGTTCAGCACACTCGGTGAACATGGCATGTGCCTCAGACATTTCCAGACATTCTGCAACGCATTGCCGACCTGGCTTGCGACTTGGCCTGCGGCTTAGTGGCTAGAGCTCCGACAGCTCATTGCCCCGCTCTGCCCAGGTCTGGTCATTGGCAAAGTTGCAGATGCACTCCCAACCCATGCTGCAGGCACAAGAGCCTCATTATGCAGAGCCAGTGTCCAGCGCGAGCACTACAATTCAAGCACTACAATTCAAGCATGCGCCAAGCACAAGGGCAGTTCAAGCACAAAGGCGGTTCAACTCAAGTGCGGCTCGAGCACCTACGATTGGAGCACGAATCCTGATTCAACCACACACAGTCCAGCACAGGCGATTCACGCAAAAAAGGGCGGCTCAAGCGCTGGCGCGTGGAGCATGGGGGATGAACACTTTCATGTGCTTTGAGCACCGCTGTTCTCCTCTTAGCGTTCAGGGTTTGCCAAAGGGGGTTTTAGGGCAGTTTAGGGCTTCTCATTCATCATATCCTTAACACTTGATCAATCGCTACACGACCTGCCTCCGGCTGGGCCTGCCCAGCAGCGAGACAACCCAAACCGGAGATCGCGCTTGTGAAGGTGCTGTCAGGCTTCAGGGCTTTGAGAATGTGGGAGCGGTAGAACAAGAAAAGCACCCGGCGGGGGTTTGGGTAGGCTTGAAGGGTGTCTGGGAGCATAAAGCAGACCCCACCTCTAATTCCCGCCCTACCGCCCCCTGCACAGATTGTACCCCTTTGTGTGGCACTTCCCCGCTCAACGGTGGCCCTGTTTTTCTGGCTTGGTGCCGCTCCACCCTCACACTCCCCTGCTTCCTCACCCCACACCCCAGAGGCCCCGGCGGATCAGGGTCGATATTCGCTTTCGCAGTCATGATTTTCTTTTGCGGTTCACCCCCTACCCCCAATCTCCCATCCCTGGTGTTTCCTTTTCAGATTTGCACCGCTCGTCTCCTGCGAGGGCTTTGATCTTCGCACCCGCCATATCCTTGTACTGGTTTAAGGTTTGGGGCCCTCCTCGTATCCCGTTTCGTTGCCTGCCCTCCACCCCGTTTCAGGGTTTGGGATTCGTGGATTTTTGCGGATCTCACGCCTCTTGGAGGCATGCTTGGATGTTGTGATGTTGCAGCTTAAATGTGATCGTTCATGGGCCGATGTTTTCTGAAGAGCATGACCCATGTAGAGCGGGCGTAGCTTGCGCGGTTTTTTTTGCAGAGCCCAAACAGGACGGATGTGGAAAATGTGTGGAAACCATCGCCATGAGAAGGTCCGTTGCCCACCAGCGTTGACCCACCACATTCTTGGAGGAACAGGGACGACTCCGCGCGCAAATCGAACATTGTGCCGAAGTCCCGGCTTAGTCATGCCACTTTCGACGGAGCTGACTGGATGTCTGGGTGAGCCGTGAATCTTGTGCACAGAGGTACCGGTGGGTGAGTCCGCTGCGTGCATGATCGAATCTGCTGCCTGTGCACGATTCCGCCGCTTCAGTGCACGAATGCGTCATGCACCAGAACACGAACCCGCTGTTCGCGAATCGATCGCTTGTCATCGGCTTTGCGGCACATCTGATGGAGCTGGGAGTCATGGCCAGTGTCTTCAGGAAAACGATGCTGTATGCTAGCTTCGTACAAGGTAAGACTCCGAAGCAAGCACATCTAATGTGTGCTGGAGGCCACCTCTGAAGACGCAGTCGCTCATTGTTCCTCTTTGCAGCTGCTGCTCCGTCGCATTGGGTATCATCTGGGTTAACTTTGGGCTGCCTCGATCCAGATACCGAGCAAACCACCTGGCAGGTCCAACTTGGGCTGGGCTCGTGCTGCGACGGCGTGTGTGGGCAGGGTAGCAGCCCAAAGCTGCAAGCGCACCTGCCAAATCTTGCATGATCTTGCACGCATTTTCAACACACAGTGCACATTCAGTGTACGTTTGCCGACACCGCCTAGGCTGCCTTGGCGTCGGCTGTGGCAAAGGTGTTGGACCGCATGTTGGGAACCCGGCGCTTGGTATGCCACAGCATGTTGGCCTTGCACGTCTTCGCGATGTTGCTGTGAACGCTGCCCAGGCAGGCGCTGAAGGAATGGTCGGCGCAGCAGCTGTCCAACCTTGCATGGCCTCTTGCGAAGGCTTGCTGAGCCTCGTGAAGCCCCATGGTGTCATGATGCCTCACGATTGGCATGGTTCATCATGATACATTAGGATGTTATGTACAACAGCTTCGCTTGTGCTCCGTACCTGGGCTCAGGGAGGTCACTAGACAGGTCGGGTCCAAGGCGTCGCAGCCATGTCGAAGCTCAACATTGACAATCTCAAGAAAGGCATTGCCGGGGCCATAGAGGTGCGAGTCATCTCCCGCATGTCACAGTGCCAAAAACCAGTGTACTGACCACGCTTGCAGGAAACATGCATGGTCCTGGGCATTCAATGCCTGATTGGGGAAAGGGAAGACTGGCACCATCAAAGCACTTAGGCTGGAATCCTCGAGGGCAGCAAGGAGAAGCAGCGAAAGTTCCTTGAAACTGCTCGCGGCCCAGGTTCGAAGTTCGAATTCCTACAATCGCTACAATCATTGCACAGACACTGTCATGTAAACACATAGTCAGCTCCAGCCTTCTCCAGCGGACTCTAGTCGACTCCAGCCGCTCCAGCCAGAAAGCCCCAAAACCTAGAAGGCATTGGAAGAAAGGAGGACCCGGCTTTTTTCCCCCCAAGCAGGCCGATTCTGCCAAAATCTCGAAGACCTAGGCATATGGTTCTGAAAAGGCATATAAAATTCATGCCGCAGGGGTTTGGTTTTTTGTTCAAGGCTCTGGGGCTTTAGTTTTCAGTGAATGGCAGTTTCCGGAGCGTTGTGGCTTGAATGTGTTTTTCTTTCCGGAGCGCTGTCCGGGATTTGACCTCCGCGAACTTGTGTGAGTTCGTCGATGCCCAGAAGTTGAAACGAGCTGCAGATGATGTGTCACCGGTGCCTTGCTGGTGCATGAAACGTGAGACCATCATGGTCCACCCACAAGGTTGAGCTGCAGATTGGCCTGAAGGACTACGACACCCAACGCGACAAGCGTTTCGCAGGCTTGATGCTGAGCTTCCGTGAATCATTCAGGCCATCACGGGATATCACGGGGTGTTGCGGTCCAGGCACCATCAAGTTGCCGCACGTCCCGCGACCCCGCTTGAAGGCACCGCAATCCGTTGGCTGCGGTAACAATGGTAAAAGGCGCAGAGCAAGCGTTGCCATGGAGAACGAAAGAGACCCACAGAAAGAGAAAAATCCTGAACTGTACCTTCGAGGTGTGCGTTCTCGGGGACGCAGTGCACTGCGAGCAGGCCCAGCGGGTCAGAGCCTCAATTGCCAATTCGATGAAGCTTTGGGCACTCATTGACAGAGAACTCAGCGGTTGCACTCCGCTGGCTGAAACTGCGTGGCTCCTTATGCAGGCGAACATTCCCTTTAAGAGCGTGGAGGACAGAAGTGACAGAAGCACGTCCTTCGTTGTGAGTTGTGCATCGTGCTTTGCAAGTTGTGAAGGACCTGAAGAAACTTAACAAGAACAAGAAAATGGTCAAGAAGCCGCGAAGCTTGGTTGGAAGCACTCACGAGCAGTGGATACATGACAACGGTCGACGATTGTTTTGATGTGAGTCAGGTTGGCCGACAGCTTCGATGCCTTCCTGGCATCTCAGGCGCATGCAAAACCATTCACAGAACTTTGGCATGCTGACGACATCTGACGAGTCTTATGACGAGTGGTTCATATGACAAAATGACATGGATCTTTGTGTCAAAGCAGCGTCAAAACGATTCGCTGCCCTGCTGCAGGTCTTGATTCCACAGATCCCACGTTTGTTGGGCCCCGGCTTGAACAAGGCTCTGACGCCTAGAGCTGCTGGAGCATGCTGGAACAGTGTCTCGATACAGCCTTAGCGTCCGCGTCAGGCTGGAAAATTCCCAACACTGGTGCAGCATTCGGACAACCTGGAGACCAAAGTCACTGAAGTGAGAAGCCAGGCAGACATGCGAATCGGGCGACACACTGTGGGGCAGCGGTCATATACGACTGGAACTGAAACTGCACCATTTTACCACGGTCTCTGAGAGCTAGCAATAGCTACGTTGCATTACAACTGAAATAACCTGTGAGATGTCCAGGTGAAGTTCCAGCTGAAGAAAGTGCTGTGCATGGGCGTTGCCGTCGGCAACGTCTCCATGACGCCAGATGAGCTGAGGCACACTCGTAGCAGTCGTCGCTACAAGTGCTAACAATAATACGCTGAATAATCGTAGTAGTAATACTACTAATAATAATAATCGTAACAATATCCTGCCACGAGGCAGAACTGCCTCATGGCGATCAAC